TGGGATCAACCTGACCCACATGATTGTTGATGTGCTCTTGAGACCCACTGTTGTCAAGGTGAAAGAGGAGGAGGACGAGGACGAGGACGAGGACGAGGACGAGGACGAGGAGGAGGGACGATGGGGTGTTGGAAGTGGAGCTGATTGGGGAATTGAGGGGAAGAGCATTAGGAGCAGGAGCAGGAGCAGGAGCAGGAGGAAGTCACGGTTTTCTCGGTAGGCAGCACCAGGAGCAACGTTGAGCTCGCGACTTTTCCTGCTGCTCAGCAGATTGACGGTGAGGAGACGAGGAGGAGGATCAGCCCTGCTGTGACGAGGACGGTCAGGATGGAGATGGCGAATCATCACTCGAAGAACTTTTCTCCTGTGTGTTTGCACTCTTGGAGCAGGTGCTTACGAGCTTGTCCTCTTGCAAACTCACTCACTCGTCAACAAACAGCTGTGGGTGAAGTTTGGAGCTACCTACATGATGTTCAACAGGTCGTCACGACCTCTCTCTCCTGTGGCAGGAGCAGCGTGTTGACGGTGTTCCAACAGCGTGCTCAAGGCCGTAAGAGCGTGCCTGGAAGAGTTTGTCGAGGAAGAGTTCAAGAATCCATCCGGGAGCCTCGACAACTTGAGGTGAAGAAAGTGACTTGATGGCAAGGAGATCAGGTGCTGATGTCTCCTTACAGAAATTTCAATGTTAACCAGGTAGAACTCCCCGCTAGTAAACACTCCCTGTGAACCCCCGCCTCCTGCTCCATCCTGGTTCTACTTCCCCCTTCCTCCTCCTTCCTCTCTCCTCTCCCCTTCCTCAAGTTTTTCCTTCTTTCTCCTCCTCCTTTCTCTCCCACACCTCTCCTCCCCTTCCTGCGCTAACTTCAGTTGCGTGCTCTGCCTCCCTCTCTTGCAGTCCCTCAGTCCAGGTCGTCGAGGATGCCCTCCTTGGGCCACTCCACTCCGGCTTCTTCCATCTCCTTCATCAGCTTCTCCAGCTTTTCCTTCCTCCCTGCCCACACCGCGTCCTCGTTGAGATCGTAAAGTTCAGCGTCCCAGTCGATCCGAGGGAACTGCGGCTGCGACGCAGGAGCCCTCTGAGACAAGTCCTCTTGCACCCCCCTCCTCTCTGCCTTCTTCATCACCACTCCTTCCTTCCCCCTTTCCTCTCCTCCCTCCTCTCTCCTCAGCACCTCCCGCAGCTGCTTCCAGGCACCCTTGTCCTTGATCCCTTCACCGCCCTCCTCCTCCTCCCTCTCCAGCACTTGCAGCATCCCCGCCTCCCGCATGCTCGCTCGCAGCCGAGGGTGAACCTTTGCGGCCTCCACAGCCGACAGCATACAGAGAGACCCCAGGTGAAACTGCGACCAGGGCAGGAGGTGGGCGGCTAGAAGTTTGCAGTAACCGAACTCAGCTCCGAGGAAAGTTTTCTCTCCCACCTCCTTCACGCCCCTCCACACCTGGAACGCGAGCGAGATGAAGAGGATCGCTACCCCGGCCTCCTCCTCCTCCTCGTGCCCAACACTCCCGCATGCGAGCTCTGCTTGCTCGCTGAGATGGCAGACCAGCTCGTTGAAGGCAACGGGGGAGGAAGCGACCGCGTCAGGACGGAACCCGAACACCCGAGACAGGAGGGTCACCCCGGCAGAGCAGCGGTCAGTCAAGCTCACGTCGTCCAGGTCCTCGGCAACTTTCTCGTCCTCCTCCAGCGCCTCCAGCAGCATCTGAGCTGTGGACACATGCCCGTTGTAGCGCACGAACGTGTCCATCACCTTGTCCCTCGTGACCATCTCGGTCAGGCAAGGGAGGAGGTAGTGCAGAGCACGGATCCTGACGCTGCCCCTGCGCGGGGGGAAGTGGCAGAGGACGGGGAGGGTCGAGCAGAAATGCTCGTCGAACTCGTCGCTGTCCACCTCGAGGAACCAGAGGCCGAGGAGGCGAGCCATGGGGATTAGCAGAGGGTCTTCAAACTTGTTGCTCTCTACCATCTCGTCGAGGTACCAGAACACAGCCTTCACGCTCTCCTCGAAGTCTGCCTTCATGTACAGCAGCCTCTGCACATCCATGTTCCTGATCCTGTACAAGTCCCCTCCCTTGCCCCCTTGCCCCTCCTCCTCCTCATCCAGACTCTCCCCGAGCATGTGGATAATCTTCTCCACCAGCGCCAGGACCATCGGAACGATCTGCTGGTTGTCCTCGGGCTTCACCTTCGCCTCCAGCCTCTCCCTCAGGTCCAACTTGGCAAACCCGAGGAGCAGCTGCAAAAACTTCCCGTCCGGCGCCCCATCCCGCTCAAGCTCCTTTGGAAACGCCCACCTCTCCCCCAGCTGCCCAAACATGTGCAGGGCTGCCATGAAGATGCTGGAGCGGTAGACTCCTCCCAGCCGGTTCCGCAGCAGCTCCAGCAAGCCCTCGCGAATGTTCTCCTGCCATGGCTGAATCTGTCCGTCACCGACGAGCAGGGAGCAGAACTGAGGTTCGGAGCAGGAGAGGAGGACGTTGATGCGGGGTAGAGCGTCGATCTTTTCCATCCCCATGTTGTGACCGAAGATGTCAGAGAGGCCTTTGAGGACTTTCATGGCAGACTGAGGGAAGCGGGAGGGGTCCATCAGGTGATCTAGCACAGCAAACAGCCTCTCCTTCCCCTCCTTGTCCTGGCTCGTCTTGATAAGTTCCGTCAGCCGCACAGGAACGTCCTTGTCGCACAGGATCTCCCTGGAATCCTCGAAGGAGGACCAGCACAGCAGCGCCGTCAGCAGGCTCTCCATGGCAGGATGCGTGGAGTTGTTGAGGCAACGGGAGAGATGAGGGGTGATCTTCATGAACTGCTTGTCTTGTCTCAAGTCTGAACAACCAGGTCAGACACATGTTGCGACAAGTCCATCCCCTTCCTACCTGGCCAGACCTCCTGCGCAGCACAGAACACCCCCAGCACCTGCAAGGCCACACACTGGTAGAGCAGGACGGTGTCTTCGTCTCCTGCCTTGCGTGTGAGGGACGTGGTGTCGTCAGATCAGCATCGGGTCACCTTGACTGAGGAGGAGGCGGCAGATGAATGTCAGGCCGAGAGCGTTGTAGATTCTACGGACATCTTCAAGTTTGTCTGTTTGCATGTCAGCAGGACCCACCGCCGGCTGCCCTGCTCACCTGACTGCGCAACTTTGGGAACAAGCATGAGCCCGGCAAACTTCTCCTCATCGGAACCTCCCTGCAGAAGTCGGACGCACTCCTCCATGCCTCCATGCAGTGGAGGCGCTGGGATGTTCCATGTCAGCACATGCTCGAGATCTCCCAGAACACCGTGGAGCACATGACTCACGAGGAGCTCCTCCAACAACACATCGTTTGCCTTGCTTCTCTTCTCTCTCTAGCATCTTCTCCATTTCTTTTCGTGGAGAGAGTTTCATGAAACATGCTGCGTAAACTATTTCTCCCCTTCCTTGTTACACCTGATCTCACCTACTCTCTTCCTTTCCCTGCCCGCTCTTCAAGCCAACTCTTCTCCCTATGCCCCATCCCTATGCCCCATCCTCCCTCCTGCTCCTTGCTCCCCGTCCTTGGCACCCCTCCTAGTCCTTCTCCTTCTCATCCCCTCTAGCTTCTTCTCCTCCCTCTCACTCCCTCCCCCTCTCCTCCCTCCTCCTCCCTCCTCCCTCCTCCCTCCTCCTCCTTACCCGCCATTGGGGTGCTTAGCGCTCCGTGCATGCAGATGGGACGGGAGATGTCGGGGTTGCTTCCTAAAAGGGTGGGTCATCATTTAAGGGTGGGGGTAATATTCTCAAATTACTCTAGACTACCCGTGATTATAGAGCAATTTAGAAGAGAAAGAACCTGGTTCTGGATTATAGTAGGGGTACTGGACAGACTCGGATTTGAAAGAGTGGGTCCGCATCAAGAAGGAGGGTGGGGTCGGAACTCTAAGCAGGAACACAATGGTGGGACGATGCGGAGGGGAAGAGGAAGGAGAGAGAAGAGGAAGAGAAGGAGAGGAGAGGAGAGGAGAGGAGAGGAGGAGGGAGAGGAGGAGGGAGAGAACTCTTGAGATACTACATGACATTCAAGTCTAGAGATGCCCCTGGCTCTCCCAAGACACTCGAAAGATTTTCAGAACCTTTGTGGAACAGAAACTAATCAGACGAAGACGAAGATAATGAAGACGAAGATGAAGACGAAGATGAAGAAGATCGAAGTGAAATAACAGGCGACAAGAATTCATTGATCTGCAGTCGGCATCATGTCAACGAGGCTTCGTTGGAACGCTCTCCTTCTCATCTTGCTGTTCTCGTCCTGGGCTCAGGTCGGCATCGGACAGCTGGAAGACAACCGGGAAGTTCAGACTCTCTTCGAAACAGCATCATCTTGCTCGACTGAGAGCCCAGAAACGACGGTGGGACGTCTGTTCCAGCTCAGCGAGCTCGCAGCGCGCAGAGGAGACATCGACTCCTCCCTTCGCCTTCTCGTCCTCATCGGCCGCCTGTTCGGTCCCTCCATGGAGTTGCATGTGCATCTGGGCGATCTGTACTGCAAGCAGAGGAAGTACGACAAGGCGCTCAACGAGTTCCGCCAGGCTCTTGTCAAGGTGCTGCGAGCGTGTCCCTCGGAGGCTGGCGGGTGTAGGAGGAACACCGCATGGTCCAACCAGACTGTCGCCATCGGCTCAAGGGCTGGGCTCTGCCTCATGGAGGGGAGGAGGTTCAGACTTGCCGCAGCTCTCTTCGACTTGGCGCATCAGCAGGAGCCTGAGGCTGAGGGGATCCTGTGGTACCTCGCCATGGCGCAAGAGTTCTCGTCCTCCTGGCGCGAGGCTGCGGCATCGTACAGGAAGTGGCTCCTCCTGCAGCAGGAGGAAGAGCTGGAGGGCTACCAGGTGCGTCGACCCAAGGGAAAGAAGGTGATCGCCTTCCTGTGCGTGTCCAAGACACCCAACGAGCACGGAGGGACGTGGAGCTCGCGGTCGCTGGAGAGAGGAGGGATCGGTGGCTCGGAGGAAGCGGTTGTCCTCATCAGCCGGGAGCTGGTGGAGCGAGGATACCATGTGGAGGTGTACGGGTATCCTGCCAGGGAGGACGTCGGGCCAGACAAGCATGGAGTCGTCTGGTTGCCTGTCTCCTCCTACTTCACCAACGACCTCCCGCCCCCACATGTGTTGGTCTCGTGGAGGTGCTATGCCATGGCTGCTGAGGGAGGAGCAACGACTCTCAAGTACTTGTGGCTGCACGATCGCGTCATGCCCTCACACCTTCCTCCCTCCCTCGTCGACCAGCTGGATGGCATCCTCGTTCTGAGTTCCCACCACAAGAGCCAGCTCCCAGCCCACGCCCAGGTGAAAGCGATTCCAACTAGCAACGGGCTCGTGCCCTCCTTCTGGGAGGATGGCCCCAACAGCCACAACGAGTTCATCTTCGCCAGTCATCCTGTGAGTTTTCGTGCTGTGCGATCCCTTCGGTTCACTGGTTCCACTGCAGGAGAGAGGCCTGGAGCTGCTGCTCGAGGCCTGGCCGGAGGTAGTGAAGCACGTCCAAGGCAAGGCGATGCACTTCATTCCTTGCCTGATTGTCCTTACCCGCAGGGGCTACGCTGCACGTCTATCATGACTTCCCCAAGGACTACGGGCAGTCTGGAGCTCCTCCTGAGGTTGCTCGTCGCCGCCTTCACACTCCTCACCTGATGCCTCACGACCTGACGCAGGAGCTGAAGCGCATGCGGCGAATGCGGAGGAGGGTGGAAGACATGCTCGCTTCTCTCCCGGGCATTCGCCGACATGGCATGGTCAATCAGACGGTGCTGGCAACAGCCTATGCTCGAGCAGGGTTCTGGCTGTACCCCACGAGGTCCGGGAGGAGCGGAACCTCCTGCCTGTCCCTGACGCGCGAGCAGCATGGCTGAGACAAGCTGCATCAGCGCGATGAAGGCTATGGCCAACGGAGTGAGAGATACAGCAGGAGGAGACCTCTGTGACAGGTCGAGCAGGCTATCCCCATAACAAGCCGATTCCCTTCCTCCGGGTTGATCGAGACGACTGGCATGAGCTGAGTGTAGAGCAGCGAGCTGTGTGACCGTCCTGCAGGAGATTTTGACTTGGGCCCGCCGAGCTACAGCAGGGAGCAGACGGTTCGTTCGCCATGTCATGAGCATGTCATGATGCTCGTGCAGTATGCAAGGAACAGATCTGAGCTGAACAAGTGGACGAGAAGTGTGGTGGAGGTAGGAGAGTGGCAGCAGAAACAGGGTAACTGACTTTCTGCAAAGGCTTCCATGGCGGACAGGAAGGGATTGCTCCAGGAGCAGAGGTGAGGGATGACAGGGCGACCGTGCGACTGAGGTCCTTCTTCAGGAGGAGGATGAAAGGCTGGGCAAGGCACATATACTCGTGGACGTCGATAGCAGCACAGGTCCTTCCCTTGAATCTGTCAAAACCGCAGCTGACCTCGTTCTTCCCTTGTCCGGCTGAAACAGTGGGACGAGCTCTTCACTGCAGGTGAGTCTGCAAGGTCAAGCGCCCAAAGTTGAGTTGTGATGATCAACTTTCTTTCATTAAAAAAATATGTCAATGCGAGCCAGTTTCATGAATGACATCCAAATTCTACATCCCCAACTTTGATCTCTCCCCTTCAAGCTGCAGAATTCCCAACATCATGAGGGTAAACCAAAGGAGAAAACAACTTACCACTTTCTTGACACGAGTTATGCACTCCTCACTGCAAACAACCTTGTCAGTTCCACGTCACCGACAACCTCGCTTGCAACTCACTTCTGACCCTGGACCTTGCCTCCATCATAAGGTGGTTGAATTCGCACCCCTGTCAAGCATCCATCTCAGTGAGACCACAGGCATGGATGGAGGAGCTACATCACCTTCTTGTGGCGTCCCAAAGTCCACGAGGATGTCCTGAGCCGCCCATCGGCATGTCATACTGTAACACTGTTACACCAGGAGCAAAGCCAGGTTTCCTCTGCTCACGTCTTCGAAAGAGCGTTGAAGATCAGTTGTGCCTCCCTCGTCACGTTCTCTCCGATGTTCTTGCCCTTGGCGAGTTCCTTGGCAACCGAGTTGGCCTCTCGCTCTCGCATCCTACATCGCAGCCTTGGAGTTAGCATTGAAAACATCATATGATCTTACAGGAAGGAAATAGCTAGTATGAAAGGGAATATCTATCGGATGAGAAACGGCTAGGTATAATATCTCATCAATGTCATGCTGGGGGTGGACAAACTTCTCTCCCTGCCGCGTTATCGCTTTATGCTTGTGTGGAAACCGTTGCACATCCAGGCACTGTCCGCGCACAAGAATGCCACCTCTGTTCTATTTTCCTCTCTCTCTCTCTCTATCCCACCCCCAATCGCTGTCCATCTCACTTGAGTGTTTACCTTGCAATGGTTGCTTCGGAAACACTGGGCACGGGTTCTGGAGCCTTGGCAACACCAGAAAGCTTGACCGAGGACGCATCGATCCTGCTTCCCTTGAGCATCCTATAGCTCGCGATTTGCTGACCCACACAGTTCTCCTTGAGCACCAGAGTATCTGTGCCCTTGTCGTACGTGAAGACTTCTCCTCGGATCACCTCCCCTCCTCCCTTCATCTTCAGCTCCACCTCCCTCCCGCACCAGTCCCCGCTCGCCTCCATGCTCTCCCCTCAACCCTATACCCCTACCCCTTGATTATAACCCCCCACCCTCCTCGACTTGCACCTACCACATCGAATCCAAGTACCCACCCTCCTTTCATTGAAAATTTGCAGCAGATGTCCCCACACTTCGTCCTCATACCACCCTTGCTCAAGAATTACCACCCTCTCGGATAGATCAGAACCCCCCACTTTACTACCCTCACCCTCCTGTGTCATCCCACCCCTCTTCCCCTCATTTTCTCAGTACCCACCCTATTCATCTCACCACCTCACCCATGTGGTAATCACCCCTTGAGCACTAATAAAAATGTTCTAAAAGGACCCGGTTCTACGTCTTCCCTCCGTCTTCTTCGGGTCCTAACCCCACCCACCCCACCTTCTGTCACAAGAATCGTGTGACCTCATCTCCGCTCAGCCCCTTGTCATCAGAGTCAGTGCAGGAGCAGGTGCAGGAGTCAGTGGAGCAGCCGCACTGAGTTGAGTCCGTCAGTCCACACCGTGTCACAGACGACCGGGCGGACACCGGGTCACGGTCCAGGGGTCCGATTGACCGGCGGAGTCCGGCCCGGTCCGGAGTCCGAGACTCTGAGACGAACGGCGGGCCGCGCATGCTGAGACTGAGCCTCGGATGCCAAGACTGAGGCAGCCTGATGACCGTGGAACGCCGAGTATCGATCGGACACTCAGTTCGACAGGCCGCCCGGCGGCGTGATACTTGCCGGCGGGCAGACTCGTGACTTCCGGAGGCAGTGACTAAGGAAGTTTGACCGTAGTCTTTCTGTACTTGGAGCATCAGTGATCCGAAGAAGTTCTCCGGATGCCGCAGTGTTTAAAGTTTGTTACTCTCATTTGGTTTGTCAGGGTCAAACAGCATAGTGCGACTGCCGCAGTGCAGCTGAGTCCCATTGCTTCAACAATAAAACTGACATAAAATAATGTGTAGTACATTGAATCTCACCTATATCCTATAGCTCTACCTAGCAGAGAGGTCGGACCTACCCCTTCCCACTTCCCGGAAGGATCGACGTTGATAAACGCAATGGCACCAGGGGGTGGCGGAGGGAGGAGGAGGAGCAGCGTCGCCTCCCGCTCCTCTCACCGCCACAGTCTTCCCTCCCTCACGTCTCGCTCCTCGTTCCCTTCCTCTTCCCGTAGTCGCGCCTCCCTGCGCACCCCTACCCCTCCTCTTCGCCCCTCATCACGCGGCCAAGCCGGCCCTAACAGCCGAGCTGTGACTCCGTTGCTGCTCTCCTCGATGGGAGAAGGGAGCCAGAACGTGGGATCACCATCCCTATGGAAGAATAAGAGCGACAAGAACGCCATGGAGAAGAGCATGATCTTTGAGATGCTTTCGCGAGGGCGAGGAAGGCTGTTGAATGCTCTCAACAAATCAGATATGAACAAGCTCGTCGAGGTTTCAGAGATCGTAGATTATGACAGAGATGCTGAAATCATCGCGGATGGCGAAGACCTCACTGATGAAATGCTCGTCCTGATGCATGGCTGCGTGACTGGCAATGTGAAGCGACCAGGCATGCCACCATCGCGATTCCAGACAAGAGCACCAGGCGCTTGCTTCGGCTTACTTGAAACGGAGAACGCAAGCCTGCATATGGTAGCTGCGAGTGAAGTGCGGATGTGCAGAATATCATGGGAGGACTTGTCGTCCCTCTTCCTGTCAAAGTCAGAGGCGAAGCTTGTTCTTGACAGCGCCGAGAGAGAGCTTGCTGCCAAGACCATTCAGCGTCGAGGACCTCCTTTCAACTGCCTCTCACTCATGGAGACCACGAGGTTGGCGGAGAGATGTAGATTGAGATGGTACCATGCGGGTGAAGTCGTGTACAAGCTGCCGCAGACGTCCGTCAACGACGAGTTTGTCGTCTTTGTGCTCGTCGCAGGAGCAGTGTCAGTGGAACCCTACCCCAGGAGGGACCCCAAGAGCCAATACTACTTCGTGGTCGACACGCCGGGAAAGCTCATCGGTTGTTCAAAGAAGATCGGAGAGATAGAGAACCTTGACAAGATCGTCTCAACAGGAGAGAGTTGCGTCTGCACCATGACTCTCAAGTCCCTTGATGAATTCCTCCACTTCCGAGGGTCCAAAGAGATCAACTACGTCTCTGAGATCCGCTTGAACACCTCAAAGATGACGGAGGTTGTCCTGAGTGACATGCTGGTTGCTCAGAGAATGACCTTGTTCTCCCTGTGGGAGCAAGGGGACGGGGCCCTGAAGAGCTCGTTAAAGAAGCTGCACGAGTTCAGGATGAGCAAGCAAAACATCGAGGATGCTCAGTCTCACATCAGTCCAGCCCTGGACCTGGCAGACCACGCGATGAACGAGTTCAGCAAGGTGCTCAACATGTTCTCTACTGACTTTATGGTTGACGGGGTCGACCTGGAAGACATCAAGATACGTCTACTCTCCATCCTCTCCCTACAGACTCACTTAGCCGAGCTCCTTCCTCCTGGTATCGTCAAGGCAGAGGCAACCCGGAAGCTGCAGGTGGCAGCAAGAATTCTAAATGACCGAGAGACCCACGTGATGGAACTTCAGTCCAAGAGCCACCCCACGGACTTCGGATCTCTGGCAGACGTGACGGAAGTATTGGAGAACTTGCCGTCGAGGATAGTGAAGTTGGAGGAGATGATAGTGAAGTACAGGGAGACTCTGTTGCAACGAGTGCCGGGGGTTCAAGGACAGAAGATGTTTGAGAACTTGATGATCTGGCATGAGAGGAAGGGCAAGGTCTGGGCGCTGACCAGGGAGCTCACGATCAAGCAGGCGTCTCTCTATCCTCTTGTGAGTAGGATGGAGGAGATGATGGAGGAGGGCAGCTTGGCTGATTCCAACCTGGACCTCTACTACAGCATGAGCTCGGTGCGTGAAGAGGCGCAGGCTCTCAAGTCCTCGCTGAGGCTCAGACTCTTCGTGTTGGACTGGACCATGCTGCAAGCGCTCGTCCTCAATGTACCTGAGGCCCTCGAGTCCTCGGCCTCCTTTGACATGATCCCCTTTGTCTCCCACTGTCAGAAGGTGCTGCTCTTCTCAGCTTGTGGTCCCTCGCTGACTCTGTTGCTAGATCACTGAGATGTACGAAGAGCATGCTCTGGCGAAGGTGCAGGCAACAAGGATGGTGGACCAAGTCTTCAAGGACGCTTTCTCTGAGCAGACGTTGCCAGCCACGCGCAAGGGGAATCGGAGGATGAGCCTCGAGACCTCGCTGGTGCTCAAGGATGCTGCTGGGAACGAGCTCGACTTCAAGCTCCCTCAGTTCATGGAAGAGCTTGCTTCCTGGCTCTGCACACCAGACCCAGCACGTTGGGAGAAACAAGCCCGAAGGATGCAAAAGATCTCTCAGATGAGGAGCTAAGAATTATGAAAGCTGTAAATACGATTTGTTCTTGTTGTACAGTAAAAAAACAACAAACTAATTTCCGTTGCCCTCATTCTTGATTGCAGGCTGCATCAGAAAGAACAAACATCACTTGGCCTTGCGCAGACTACCGTGCACTGCGCTGAAATCCAAGTCTCCCTTGCCTTCCATACGAGCGCGCTTGAACGACTCGTTGGCAGCCGCGGCAACCTACGGAAACTCGTGGTGAGCGTAACAGACATTGGATATCAGACAAGAAGGTAGAGCAATTTAGCAAAGAGCAGACAAAGCTTTACCGGCATAGGGACTTCGAGCTTGTCGCCGAGAGCGAGCGCAAGCCGCATGTCCTTCTGTTGGTGCTTCAGAGGAAAAGCTGGAGGGTACTCTCCTTTCGCCATGCTCGGCCCCTTGAGCCTGAACATGGGGTTTGACATGGCTCCAGCATCCAGAACTTCCAGGAGAGCCGAGAGGTCAAGATCAGAGCTCTCTGCCAGAGTCATTCCCTCCGCAAATGCGTTCATCATGCTTCCCATGATCTATCAACAATAGTCAGAGAGCGAAAGGTCTTCATCGACTCTCTCCACCATGTTCACTACAAGCTTCATCCTAGCGCCACCTCCAGTCTTCCCCAGGTATCTGACGTAGCAGGCGTCATCACAAAAGAAGGATATGCATCACACGTCATCACACAAAGAAGAACGAAAACTCACCGGTGCTTCTTGCCCATGGCCTCGAGGTATGGCTGAGAATCCTTGTAGAGACTTTCGTCCCCTGCAGTCTGCAACCCCGCGGAGAGCAAGAGCGAGAAGACGTTAGCAGCAGGAGGACACATGGAAGCATTTAACCAGGAAGATCAAAGTGCCGTCTTCTGCGGGTTTCTTGCTCCCCGATACCTGAGAAAACGTTTTCAAAAAACTTGTTTCCACGTGGGAATGCTGGCATCAAACCGGAGCTTCGAGGAAACGACCACCAGCTGCGGTGATGGCATCTCCAATCTTGTTCGAGCATTCTTCATCCACAGTGCTGCAGTCTACATACGCCTTCCCGGGCTTCATCGCCTGCACAGCCTTCAGTGATCCACACTGTGACAAGACACAGGATACTGCACAACATCAACACCACCGGGAATGTATCTGTGTTTGCCTCCAGAAAATACAACACATACCTTCAGAATCCCGTCATCTCGGAAGACAACGTCCATGGCGATGTCAGGATCGGCCAAACATGCGAATACAATATCGCACTCCTGCATAGATGTTGAGATGTTACAATTGCTACAATTGCCTGAGAAAAATCGACCTTGACAACATCCGCTGGAGTATCAGCAACCTTGGCTCCTTCTGAACGGCAAGAAATTATGACGCACCAATCATCATAACACGATTTCATTCAGCCACCATGACCGACTCCCTGCTACTCTCCTCCTTGCTCCCTTCCTACTGCTACTCTCCTCCTTGCTCCCCTCCTCCTTGATCCGGATGATACTAAACCTCTCCTTGAGTCTGAACCCTTCAGCTCCCTCTGCCACAACAACAAGCGATCCTGTCTCTGGTCGCTTACCTTTCTCGAGAGCCTGGCACTTCTCTTTCGTTCTGTTCCAGACCACCAAGTCGTGTCCCTTCTTCTTCAGGTTCCCTGCCATTCCCACCCCCATGATTCCAAGTCCCACAAAGCCCACGCGCGCCATGGTTTATACGTGGTGTCTTTCTACACCCCGTGCTTCCCTGTTTTGATGCTGTAAAACCCCTCTAATCTACCATATGATAGGGGGTAGGGGTCATAGACCCCACCGGCCCCCACAACAATACAGTCTGGTACGTAGTCTGCGTATCCGAAATGATGGGAGACCGGCCCCGGCTCCGGCGCGGAGTCTGCGCGGAGTCCGCAGTCCAGGCTGGGCCCGGCGGCTCCAGTCAGGCGGTGAGTCCGAGGCTGCAGTGGCTGATCCTTGCTGTGACTCCGACGGGTGAGAATCTGGCAGGCTTGACTGAGTGGGCCGCCCGGCGGGGCCCGGTATGCTGCTTGTCACCGTCCGGTCATGAAGCACTGAGAGTTTCGAATCGTGAGATTTCAGAGGCCCAGGGGTGATCCAGGGCTCTAAAGGGGGGGTCATTGGGCTTACCAAGCGGAGTCAAATGGTTTGAAAGGCGGGAATGGCGGAGGCGGAGCTGCTTGCAAAGTTGGAGGGGACGAGGAGGAGGAGAAGGAGGAGAGAGGAGAAGGAGTTGGGAGGATATGAAGACGAGATCGAATGGAACCTGGTAGAAGAAGACATCATCCGTTCAGACATGCTTGAAGAGCCACCGACCATTACTCGTGGGAAGGTAGTCGGACAGATGCTGGAAAGGTGAGAGGCTCTGCGTATAGATGCGTCAAGAACAGTTGACATTTGTTTCCAGACATAAGCTGAAGTTGGCTCTGAAGATGTTGAAAGAGCAGAAGTTGGAGGAGGAGAACAGGGAGTTGAAACAGAAACTGAACGATGCACTGATGAGCAACGCGAACATCATGAAGGAGCTACTGCAAGCTCGAGAATCGAGAGATTACATGTTGAAAGAGTGGAAGACTCGAGAGGAGATCATGAAAACTGAGATCTCAAGGCTGAACGACAACTTGCGAAAACCAAGAAGCAAGGAGTCGGCCAGTCAAGCTTCATTTTCAGAAATACACTATGTCTTGACGAAGGACAAAGAAACTCAATATGAGGTAGATGCAAAGAGAGAAATGCATGACGTGTGTCGTCCTAATGGACAACGTGCCAATCCTGAGTTGATGACTACCCCACAACAGCACAGAGATCTGACTTTGAAGGAGATTTCCGTTGTGGAAAGTTGCACGCAGACAGAAGTTGATGTACGAGAGAGGGATGTGAAGACTAGTGAACCCTGCTGCGATGTTCTGAAAGAAAACAAGAGGAATCAAGAGCTCTCGGTGTCGACGGTCAAGGGGCACGGGCTATCGAGAGATTCGAGAAAGGCACAGCATGTAATTGTCAATCCTCCCTTGTTGTTGCTTGTTTGACAGTGGCACAGAACGTTGTGATCTCAAAATCGACAAGCTGGGGAAAACAAACTCATCCGGACTCACATAAAGTTGATCATGTCACCGCCCCCATGGCGGAAACTCTGCCTGCTGCCGAGGATCATGTGTTGCAGGAGAAGCGAGCGTTCCAGAATCGAGAGCATCACCAGGAGTATGGAGGGGAAGGGTTGAGTGTGGAAAAGATGCGGAAGTTGATCAATTTCTTGATGTTCCAGTGAGCCCTGTGAGCTCCATCTCCTCTACTCATCTCCCTCCACAGGTCAAGATGGGAGTCACAAGTAACTTCGGCCCTACGTCACCAGTGTGGCAACGAAGCCGTTTTCGGCTTGCTGGCTCGAGCGTGCTTCGGCACATGGAAGCTGCAGGCTCGAGTCAACGGAATGGTTCTGACCATGATGTGAGTGCTTGTCAGGCGCATTCTCATCGATCACAATGTGATTTGTGGCAACGCAGGAGACAACGGGAGTCCCTCCTCCGAGTCTACGATGATGATCATGAGAGTGAAAAGTGACACAGGAAACTCCTGGCCCTGTCATGGTTCTCTTACACTTGTGCTGTACATATTCTCCATCGTCAGGTTCATCCTCCCAACTTCAGCTGGTGCTTATTCTTCGCTGTACGTGCCACAAACCCTGCACCACCTGGAACCAAGGAGAGTGAGCGTCTCACGTCAACAACACGTCCACTCGCCCGTCGGTGTTTTTGAATGTCGGCATGGATCTTGAAGTCCTCGAACTTCTCCATGCAGAGCTGGCAGAAGCCTCTCTTTATCTTCTTCTTCACCTCCTGGCAAGACAGTCACGACCTGACCCCAACGTATGATGCTCCTTACGGATTGTCCGTCCCCTCTCTTGGTGCTATGAGTCAGATCGTTGACTCGCTTGTCGCAGCCCGGTGGCCCATGTCGAGGAAGGAAGTGCAACCATTCGGGATACCCACACTCTCTACCTGTCAACATCGCAGGGACCATCAGCGACAGCGCAAGGTTGCAAGAATTAAATCGATTCAACTCACCGTATTCCTTATCCACGCTGCATACCTTCACGACGTGCGTCTCTTTACGCAGTTCCGCTGCAGTCAGAGGCTTCTTGCAGTGAGCTGCCTTGCTATCCAAGCCTCCTGCTCTTGTCGCTGGGCTTGTCTCTGCGTAGATCATGCTGCGGATCTGTCCGGGGGTCCTTTGGCGACGTCAGACACCTCAACAAGAACAAGATGGGAGACTACAATATCTTCTTGTTGTGTGAAGTTGCAAACTGCACAACACTCGGCGGCGTTCGCTCTTGGCTCATCCTCGGGACTTGAGCCATCAATCGCTCTGCTCGTCGAGATTGCAACTGCATCGACGTGAGGATGACGAGATATCATGGCATGCTTACCTCGCGCTTATGTGAGAAAGACCCGCTATACGTGCTGTTGCTGTCGGAAGTTCGAACGTAGTCAGGCGAGTTGGCGCAGATTCCTTCGACAGGCAAGTCAAACATCGAGAGGAAGGAGCTAGGGCTCACCGTTCTCTGCTCTAGGCCTCCTGTTCTCTGCATCCAAAGTCGCCTTTGAAACGATGAAGTCTACGTCTTTGTCCAGGAAGATGACTACTGAGCATCCAAGATTTTGAAGTTGAGACTTCACGGAGTCCAGGCTATCAGGCTCTGCATCCCAAACATTCTCGTCGAAGAACACACTACAGCCTTTCAGGCTCCGTCGTTCTGAACTTGATCTCTTCATCCTGCTCCTGCACACCCCATCAACTTTGTCTGAGTGATGAATCATGAGATGCTGCAACAGTGAAGAGGACATTCACACAAGGATGCTGGGCGGAAAAGAGCAGGCGCGGAGAAGGAGAAGAAGCCTAGAAAAGAGGGAGGTGACAGAACAGGATCCTTGGAGAGAATGAACAGATCGTGAAAGCTCAAGGCACTAGAGAAGCGTTGCAGGAGAGTAGGATAGTAACGGAGGAAGGAGAGTAGGAGAGTAACGGAGGAAGGAGAGTAGGAGAGTAACGGAGGAAGGAGAGTAGGAGAGTAACGGAGGAAGGAGAGGAGAGTAACGGAGGAAGGAGAGGAGGAGAGTAACGGAGGAAGGAGAGGAGGAGAGTAACGGAGGAAGGAGAGTAGGAGAGTAACGGAGGAAGGAGAGTAGGAGAGTAGGCGACGAGCCCGTTCCTTCCCGCCCTCCCGCCATTCTCATCTCCAACAAAAGAAGTTGTAAAATTAAAAAAAACGAACGAGAAAAATGCAGGCCGGTATGGGCAAGAGGAAAGTGTGAGGGGAGAAAGAGACAAGACAAGACAAGACAAGACAAGACAAGACAAGACAAGACAAGACAAGACAAGACAAGACAAGACAAGACAAGACAAGACAAGACAAGACAAGACAAGACAAGACGTTCAACAAAAACAAGAGAACAACACATGTCGAGACTCATGCAAGTTGAACCGACAAGAAGACGAGGGGCGCTCTGCGCGGTGCACGGGCATGCCCAGCCGTGAAGTTAGATTTAGTTGCGCCTCTCTTCTCACTCACTGCAGTGCATGTCTCACGAGGACTACGAGCAGACCAGCGCATGGCTGGAGCAAGCCTCTCTCGGCCATGAGAGCGCTGCCAGCCTCGTGGTGAAGAAGCTCAGGAGCGAGCCCGTTCTGGAAAGCTTCATCTGTCGGAGGATCCTGGAGTTGTACAGCACGCGGGAGGGCGAGGGGGACAGCAAGTCCTCGTGTTCGAAGGCTGCTCTATCCCTTGTCCTGTCCGAGCTGTGCCGCAGCGCCATCTCGTCCAGGAAGACTTTGAGCAACTTCACCCCCATCCTCGTCTCCTGCGCTGCCGTCCGGCAAGCTTTCTGCCGGGACGTCCACTGGAGCTCTCGTGCCATGTTGCTCTCGAGCTGGTCAAGCTGGGACTCTCAGATGGTGCAGGAGCAGACGCGGATGTTCGACGAGACGCTGAGCAGCATCTTGAGGGACTCTGGGAGCTATGCGCTCGACGGGACCGACGAGGGCAGGAGGTGGGAAGCGAGAGAGGCCGAGGGCTTCTGTGCAGAGACAGTCGTCGCCTGCATCGAGTCGTTGATCAAGGTAGGAGCTGCCCATGTGAGCGCAGACAAGATCGTCATGCTCCGGGCGCTCAGGGTCAGACTGCTGATGCTGGTGGGTACATCTGAGACGGTAAGGGAGGGAGGGGAGGAAGACGTCAGCTGGTCGAGGTGGAGCCTTCATATCCGGGAAGCAACGTGCGACAGAGCCCTTGTGATGGACTCCTGCAAGACCTTGGGAGGGCGGGATGAGAGCTTGAAGCTGCAGTCGTCGCTCTCTCCGGATGCACCTCAGGTTCCTCTCTCAGTCATCCTGTGCGAGCTGCTGGAGGGGAGGCAGCAAGATCCGAGTGGTCAGCGAGCAAGCGACTTGGTCTTCCTTCTCTGGTCGTCGAGCTCGTGGGCTGCTCAGTACTTGGGGTTCAGCTTCATCAACAGCCTCATCAAGTCCAGCAGAGAGAGGTTCCGTGACCGGCTGGGAGACGAGTCGTTCTTAAAGCTGGTCTTCAGAGACGTGATGACGAGACGAGCTCGCGCGGGTGGTGAAAGGGAGGGGACTGATCAGCGAGTTTGCAAACATCTTGTCAAGATGCTGATGGGGATGCTGAGACAGATTCCTCCCCGGTTTTCTTCCTCTTCCGATGACCTTGAGCTTGTCAGGACGATCCTGTTCTTCTTCTTCGACGTACTGTTCAGCTTTTCAAACATACAGAAGATAGAAGATGCCATTGATCTCGTCGAGAAGAGACTTGAAAGTGCTGACGATGGTGATGATGATGGCGGTGGTGAGGAGGAGGAAGCAGAGGGCGGGGAGGAGGATTCGCGCTCTCAAGCATGTTCTTATCAGCTGTCCCAGACTATTCGTCGACACCTGCTCGAGTTCCTCCTGCTGCAGTCCAGCAACGATGAGATGAACATCGACATCGGCAGCGAGCAGAAGCTGCGAGCTCTGTGCTTCAAGGTCTCCTCCGCAGAGAGGAACGCGCTCCTGCTGGGGTTCACCGTCCGACTGTGGAAGAGGCTGAGACGGGGGGCGAGCGAAGGAAAGGAGGTCGATGTTGGCCATCGCATCTCCTGTAGACCGACACAGACGAGGTTGGTTGCGATTGCGCTCTCAACATTTGGAAGATCGCAGAGACGCCAGGAGGAGGAGGGGGGGAAGCGGGAGAAACGAGTGGCGGCACAGGAGGAGGAGCATGGGACAGGGATAGTTGGCCTCTTGACGGCACTCATAGGGAACGGGATTCATCATCATCATCATCATCATCATCATCATCATCAGCATCATCAGCATCATCAGCATCATCATCATCATCATCAGCATCATCATCAGCATCATCATCATCATCAGCATCAGCGATCAGCATCATCAGCATCGCCATGTGCGGCTGTGGAGGTCGGAAGTTGGTTGAGCTCGGCACTGGAGAGGCAGGGGATGGGAGATAAGAGAATTTTCTCCTTCTCCGACTACCTGGGCTGGTTGAAGTCGATGTTGATGGGAGGGGCGGACCAGGTCGCGTCGAGCCTGGCAGAGTCTCTCAGCAGCGGGCTCGTTCCTGTCTCCTTCGACCTGATGAGAATGTGCAAGGAAGTGCTGAAGGGGAGAGGAAGGGAGGAGCTAGGGAGCCTGCGGAGGACGATCTTGACTCTGACGATGCAGCAGAAAGTGAAGAAGGTGGCGGAGGGGAGGAGAGGAGGGAAGCATGGCAACTACCTGCAGCTCTTCGACGTGCTGCTCAAGAGGTTTGATGATGGAGATGCTTGCAAAGGCTTCATACCGAGTGTGCTGACCACGAGCGAGGCGTCTTGGAAGAATTTCTTGCTGTACATGGCAGACATGACAGGAGAAAAGCTCTTCGACCTGCGGACCTCCGCTGGAAAGGACAGTGAGGGGGAGGGGAAGCAGGAGCAAGAGCAGGAGCAGGAGCAGGAGCAGGAGGATCGGGACCATGCTGAGATGCGGATGTTGACACGGATGGACTTCGTTCGGTTCGTCAACGCCATCGTCTTCTTCGAGCTTCCTCATCACGAGATCTTGAAGGAGCGGCTGCTTCCTCCTCCTCAATCCCTCGTAGACATGCTCTCCTCCTCTTCCTCGGCGGCAAGCAGGCAGGACAAGTTCGCTATCGGTGTCAAGATAGCTTCTTTCTTGTCATCCATGGCAGACACGACGAGCTGGTCCGGGATGATCTTTCAGTCAGCCGTAAAGTCCACCTGTCCCCCAAGCTCCACCTTCCAGCTGCTCCAGCGCTTCCATACCGCCTTCTTTCCTCCAGCTGTCGAGCAGCAGTTCCGCCAGGCCTGCATCGCCGCAAACTTTGACAGGAGGGTCTGTATGCAGCTGACGGCCCTGCTGGGCTGCTTCAAACATGTCAAGTACGACCGGCTCTTCTCTATGGACGAGATGCTCTCCTCCTCGCTCTGCGATGCCCCGCGCTCTCCCTCCTTCTCCTCTCTCATTCCCTTCATCCTTCGTTCAGCCTTCGAGCGGTCGGGGGCCCTTGCATGGGACAGCAGCGACAGGCTCCTCCTCCTCGGCGCGCGCCTCGTCTTCCTCATCAGCAAGCAGCCGCTCGCTGCCCGTGATGCCTGGCTGCCCCTCCTAGAGTTCATGTGGGAGAACATCCCTCGCGAGGAGGAGGGGAGGGGGAGGAAGAGGCTGCTGCAGGAGGAGGGGGAGGGAGTCACTGTCCTCTTGCTACAGGGATGTCAGGCACTACAGCAGCTGCCGCACCTCCTCTCCTCCTGCTACCAGAAGTTCCCCATGAGCGTGAGCTTGCTTGACTGGCTGCGATGGGAGACAGAATTTCTCAAGGAGAAGGAAGGGAAAAGGCAGCAGGAGGACTTGAGAAAGGCTGAAGAGGAGCAGGAGGAGCAGGAGCAGGTTCTTCACTACGCAAGCATGATATGGGGAGTCTTCATCCCTCTAGAGTTTGACGACCAGGTGGAGGCATGCTTGCTGAAGCTTCTCGAGGCTTTCAAGGATCCCCAGCTGGCTGCCAACAGAGCTCTCACCCTCCTCTTCCAGCAGGCATGCCGGGCAGTGGCGAGCGAGGAGGACGAGAGCCGCAACCTCTGGTTGCTCAATGCTCTCCTCAAGGACTGCGAGGAGCTGGAGGGCAGCTGGACTGAGCGCGTCCTCTCGCTCGTCCCCGAAGTCGCCTTCTGTCCCCTAAGGAACAGGACTGATGTCAACCTGAAGCTCCTGGGCCGCATCCTCCTCACCCGCTCCCCCCTCATCTGGTCCTCCTCCTTCCTCACCAAGGTGGCATGGTCGGTGACGCACTTCGCCTGCCAGAGGGAGGAGGAGGAGGAGGCTGCAGCTGTCCGGCGCTTCCTCCTCTCATGGCTGGAGCTGACGAGCGAGTCCGGCTTGTCAGTTGGGGAGGGGCTGAGGAGAGAGGTGGGCAAAGGTTTTCTCTTCCTGCTGCGGGCACGAGGCCACCGGGCAGAGGCAGAGCTGCTTGAGCGCCTCCTCCTTGACTGCGCTGTACTTCATTGCCCTGCTCCGCTCCTGCCGGACTTGCTGGATGCTTCCAGCGTCGCATGGAGACTCCGGCGGGGAGGAGAAGAGCAGCAGCTCCATGTGGAGGAAGAGGAAGAGAAGGCTGGAGCGGCTTCAGGTGCTCGGGTAGGAGCTGGTCCAGACGTCGAGATGGGCGAGGCAGGGATAGAGGAAGGCAACAGAGACTTGCCAAATGGACGGGGGAAGGAGGAGGAGGAGGAGGAGGAGGAGGAGGAGGAGGAGGAGGAGGAGGAGGAAGATGGGGACGGAGATACGAAGAAGTCTCGAAGATTGAAGGACAGAGAGCAAGATCACAGTCAAGCGGACTCAAGGTCTTCGCCGAGCAAGCGAGGTCGAGTCAAATCTTTCAAGAGGCAAAGAAGAGGAGGAAAGAGCTGAAAGCAGTGGAGTGTAAGATCGACCCGTTTGCCGGATGTCAAAGTCACGACGATGATCTAACGCGGTGAATTATTCATTTCTCTTAAATTTCGTTGAAAAATCTTGACAAGTATCGAACACAATACACACACATTGTTAACAGTTGCGAGACATCTTGTACTTGCCCCACACTTCACAATCTCCCTCGAGGCCCCGCTTCAACGGGGCACGGGGAACAATCCCGGCTAACTTCTCATCCTTGACATCCATACACGCGTAAGCCATCGCTACATGCGTCAGCAGCTGGGCAGCCGCCACGTCATCTTCCTCCTTGATTTTCTTAGAGCCCATGGCGGCCGATCCTGAAGCTTGCGAGAGCCCTCGGATCTGTGCGGGGAGGAGGCTGCCCGGCCAAGAATACAGCTGGGGAAGCGAGCACTTGGCGATGGGAGCCAGCGGGGCGAACGTCTTGTTGCGAGCTGAGAAGGTGATGTACCTCTTGGACGTGCCATGGCCCCTGAGAGGTGTCGCCTTGTTCTTGACCAGCTGGTCCAAGATGCTTGCAGGATCGTAGGGACCCTGGTGACCACGGATGCTGCGTATATTCAAGCCTCGACCCTCGTCAGCGATGATCTCACGCATCATCTTCACGGCTCGCGTCTTCGCCTGCTTCCTCAAGCGATCGGCCACGCTGGAATCCGCTAGGTCGAGCTTGGTGGGATCGTAGAGAAGAGCCATGGGAATATCCCGAGCAAGCACAACGAAGGGAGCAGGGACCTGCTTCTCGTGACTTTGGATGTAGTCATTGACTGCCTTCGCGTCCTCGCTGTTGGCTACGAAGACTCGCATCTTAATGTCTGTGATGCCCTCTCCCTGGATTTCAACGCACGTGTGCTGCTCCTTGGGGATCTTGCTCAACACCGTCTCTAACCTTTCACGTGCTTTGGCTGTTATGTCCTTGGCAAGCACTCCGTCTCCTATTGCTGTGACAAATAGATTTACAGGGAAAAACGCAGACAGCATAGAATCGTTGGTTGATGGTTGTTTCTTGGGCGGCGAAATATTGGAAGGCAGCTTGTTTTCGATGCCGCATTTGTTCTTTGCTGAGAAAATGATATATCTCTTGCTTCCTTCTGTTCCCAGAAGGGACGTTCGACTCTGAATGTACTTGTCGAACGACAAGCTTGGTGTACTTGGCCCTGAATAACCGCGAAGGGCACGAAAAGTTGCTCCACAAGAAGGATCAGCGATTGCCTCCTTCAACATTTTGACAGCTCGTGTCTTTGCTTGCTTCCTCAACCTGTCTGCAACGCTTGCACAAGAAATATCCAATTCTTTGCTATTGTACTTGACAGCCATGTGGATCTGTTCGATTTCAACAATCATCACCATGAATTGGGGCGAGAACGTAAAATCTTACCTTTTTGGACAAAATGACGAATGGAGCAGGTGTCTGTTTCGAGCTCAATGTCAGCTGCAAAGCACTATTGAAAATCTCCTTAATCAACCTGGCTGGGATGGGAAGCAATGTACTCCGTGACTGCCTTTGCTTCAATGCTGTTCTCAACAAAGACACGCAGCTTGATATGCATGGTGCTTGCTTCGGAGCTCACATGGACCACCGTATTCTGCTCTTTGGAGACGTTTCTTACCACCTGCTCGAGAAGGTCTTGTTTCTTCCTTGCTCCTTCTGTGAGAACTTTTCCATCGCCTAAGGCAGCTACAAACAGGTTCACGAGGAAGTATGAGTCCTCCTTTGTGTCTCCGCTGGGACAAGAATCCCTTGCGCTGCTGTCAAACTTCGGCTGCTTCACCGGAACATTCGATTCTTTGTCGCCCTTCTCAGCGAAAACCGTCCATTGCCTGAAAATCCAACGTCAGTCTATGACTTTCATCGAACAGGTCAAATACTTGGGAACCAAAGGGGAATATGGTTGAGGGCTTCCGGTACTCGACGTGCGAGTCCCGCAAAGCAAATCTATCTTGATGCGACGTGAGTTGGAATCTTCGCTCGCAATCTTCTTGCTCAGATCTTCCATCGGCTGGGTGAGCATGGGAACGATCCAATGGACTTCCTGCGGGAGGAATGGGCGCAGGCCCGCAAAACTCTAGCGAACGAGGTAATAGAGAGATAAAATGCTGTGGGAAGCTGAGATGTTAATCCTTGTGAGATTCATGCAGGTTGTGTGAATGCACTCCGACTTCGTGAACTAATGGAAGAGCTCTCGACGAGGGGGAAATGCGCGGATTTCTCTCAGATCTTAAGCACAAGAAGTCAGCACCCAGCAATACAATTTAGCGAAGCTCTACAGCCTTGTGCATCAGTCATTGTACCCTGAATGCTGCTACAGGGAGGCTTGAAGATGAGGAAGTGTCTTGTTGCTCCCCTCAACTACGATCCTGGCCCTGACTGATCGAAAGTACTCATCCGAGTAGGCTACAAGGATATGGGTAGAACGCTAGCTTTGACATCGATTCGAATCTAAGGGAACCGTGGTTTGTCCGACTAGCACGCTCGCTAATCCAGCCTAATCACTTCTCTCGCAATATCTTCGAAAGGGCTGTCCCACGAACAATTGAGATCTTGCATGCAGAACTCTTGTACGGCCCTTCATCTACCATAGAAGACAAGGACTTGTCTTGCTCTTCAAGCTTGTTCTTCTCCTTCTCTTACTTCTCTCCGCCCCCTCCCCAACCTCCTCCCTCACACTCGATCCCCGATGCTCTCCCGCCCATTCCGCCACAAACCCCCCGAAAGCCTCACCCACCCCTCCCTGCTTTGCCCAGTCTTCATAACCCTTCCTCTGAATCACCCCCACCCCCCAATTTTACCACCGATGTACGAGGAAAAATGGGTCCATGAGAGAGGTACCCTACCTCCCTTGTCTCAATCGGTCCGAGGAGCCAGGGGTACCCAAAATATCCGAAAATTTCAAGCCCGCCCAGATGAACTTTAAAGCAATGGAAAATGTTTTACATTTTAAAAACATAAAAAATATCTAATACAAACTCTAAACAATATAGTTTTATAAATGTGCTTCAACATGGGGGCCTCGTGTTGTCATTTTGATAGAAACCATTAAGAAGTACAAAATGGAATCCTACAAAACATTTTTTCTCTACAAATCAGCAGAGGGACCCAGTACAGAAATATTTCTCAAATTACTCTTTTTCAACCACAGTACCCCTCACTTTGGTACCTAAACCCCGAAATAAAATCTGTTTTAGCCCCTGGTGCGACCTCTGCGGATGTTTTAAAAGTATTCTATACTAAATACTTCTAAACCCCATAACCTGAGGGACACAGTCAAACCGTGTAGGGGTCATAGTGAAACTCCAGAGGAAAGCAAAGGACATATAGTCAATAATTTAGCGAGATTTAAGTAATATAGTCAATAGCTACACAGCCGTTAGAAGGGTCATCTATGGGGCCATGTAGTCAAGTTAAAGTTTGTCGCTTCAAAGAGAACGGTCAGCGGTTGGGAGGGGTAGTACATGAAACTGGTAGAGGATGGGGGTAGTGCCGTGGTGCCAACGGTGCCAGTGTAAACGGAGTTTTTTAGGCCCAAGTTACTACGGTAAGTTAGTAGGCGCTACTACTGAGATCATTGATCATTACTACCATTGCCAATTCCGTATGCTAGTAGTATGATACTATGGCACAGTACAACTTGAGCCGGCCTTCGCGCCTGACACTGTGAGGCCCGAGGCCAGCCCCGTTGAGCCGAGTCTCGGACTCAGCGGCAGTGACCGTACCGTACGGCGCCTGAGGGCCTGAGTGGCCGGGCCTGCCGGCGCCGAGTCCGTCAAACCCGGTAGCTCAGTCGGCGGGACTCGTGACGAATAATCACGGGCACCTGAGTCCGCCGCGGCCGGGTCGGAAGCGCCGGGCGGGCGGCCGGGTTCCACAGCCCGGGCCCTCCTAGGCTCCGGAGCCTGACTCAGGCCGGGCCCGGGCCCGGTAAAAATTAGAACAACGAGTTCACCTCAGATCATCTCTATCAGTTGATCAAAAGGCATTCAATTCTTTTAGGGCTTTTACTAGGGTGGAATGAATGGTGCCCTCAAAATGTGTGTCATGGGCAACAGGCGAGAAGGAATAAGGAACGGAGGAGCAGCAGGAGCAGCAGGAGCAGCAGGAGCAGCAGGAGCAGCAGGAGCAGCAGGAGCAGCAGCAGCAGCAGCAGGAGCAGGAGCAGGAGCAGGAGCAGGAGCAGGAGCAGGAGCAGGAGCAGGAGCAGGAGGAGCAGGAGGAGCAGGAGGAGCAGGAGGAGGAGGAGGAGCAGCAGAAGAGGAGCAGCAGCAGGAGCAGGAGGAGCAGGAGCAGGATCAGGAGCAGGATCAACAGCAGGAGCAGGAGGAGGAGCAGGAGCAGCAGCAGCAGCAGCAGCAGCAGCAGCAGGAGGAGCAGGAGCAGCAGGAACAGGAGCAGGAGCAGGAAGAGCAGCAGGAGGATCAGGAGGAGCAGGAGCAGCAACAGCAGCAGCAGCAGGAGCCGCAGCAGAAAAGGTCGAGGAGACAGTGAGGAAAAGCAGCGGGCGGGGGGGGGGGAGGGGGAGGAAGAAGAGAGAGAGAGGAGAGAGAGAGAGAGAGGGTGCGGTGGGGGGGGGGTGAGTAAAAGAAGGATGCGGAAGAGAAGAACACAGGAAGGAGAGGAGCCATGGTAGGAGTAAAGCGAGGGTTAGGAGGAGGAGCGGAGATCAGAGGAGGTGAGAGGAAAGATGAGATGCTTGATTGCACCCACCAGGTCAAAATCAGAACAAGCAGGTTGCATTCATGTTTCCAGCATGACGAGCGAAGAGAGCGGAAACGGTGTCGGAGGAGACCTCGAGAAGAAGAGCAAGGTCGACGAGTGGAAGGCTTACTTCCTCGAGCATGGCCTCACCCCGACAGATCTAGCCAAGGCGCTGGTGGTGCATGAGGTGGAAACCCCTCCCTCCCCTCCTCCTCGCTCATCTGGATGCAGACGGTAGGGATTTCCTGGCTTGCTGGCAGCTGGGGTTTGTGTTATGCGGTGCAGGTGAGGTAGGAGGGGCGGGGCTGCGGTGTGATAGCGTGCGTCAGCCCATCAGGCGGCTGGGTTCGAGATACTTCCAGCAGAACATTGACAAGTTCTTCGACAAGGCATTCACGTATGATGGCAATCCCTACGTCCTCCTCCTCTTGCTCTTCCCAGCCCTCTTGCTCCCTCCTCCTCCTCCTCCTCCTCCTCCTCCTCCTCCTCGTCCCCCTTGTCCTCGTACTCCTCTTCCTCGTCATCCTCGAACTCGAACTCGAACTCGTGCTATTCTCCTTCGGGTTGCTCCAGCTCAGCTTCTCAGCTCTCTTCCTTCCCTCGGGTGACGCGTGCTCTGCAGGAAGCTGCAGCCTGTCTTCCGATGGAGCGCCAGGTTTGCTCTCGTCCGGTCGATGGACAAGCAGCGGCTCATCATGTCACTTGCGGAGTCTTCCATCCTCCGCAACGCCGCGCGTCCAGTGACTGTGCCTCTGAAGCTGTGGGTTGCGGTACAGGTTGTTCTGATGACGAAGAAACGATGATGAAGAGGAGGAGAGAAACGATGATGGAACAAGAGAGGACGATAGAAACGATGAATGGGAGGAGAGAAGCGAAGGAGGAGTTCTGTGACCTTCAAACATTTACAATAGCATATCCGATCATCGTGAAGACAACAACATAAATAGAGTTGGCAGGGATGAATGTAGTCGAGAAGTAGAGAAGAGATCCCTGACGAGACTATCAGTGTACGCTCACGAAAAGAGACTTGGACGAGAGGAGAGAAGCTAAAGAAAGAGTGGGATGTACCTTGAACATGTCTATCCCTGCTACGATGCCCATGGCCACAGCCGACTGAACCAGCCCAACCAGCCCCACGAAAACACCTGAAGGCTCTTCATCCTCCTGATCCTCCTCCTCCTCCTCCACCACCACCACCAACCTCCTCCTCCTCCTATCGCGCATGGAAGACTCACAGAGGAAGTAGAGGAGGCTCATGTCGTATCCCTCGACGCCGATGGGGAAGGAAATGAGCGGCTCGCACAGCGCCGCTGCTGCTCCGAGATGCATCAGCCCTAGGCTGCTCGCATGTAGTCAGAGACAGTGGAAGGGGAAGAGACGAGGGAGAGAAGGGGGATAGGAGTGAGGGAGGGAGGGAGAGGGGAGGAGGGATGGGAGTAGTTTAGGACAGAGGACAAGGAGGTATTGGATGCAAGTAACCTGTACAATTCTACCATCATAAGCATCGCAGTCCAACCTGCAAAACCCTCCCGTCAATATTACAAAATCATCCACAGACTTCCTGCTGCTGCTGCTGCTGCTGCTGCTGCTGCTGCTGCTGCTGCTGCTGCTGCTGCTGCTGCTGCTGCTGCTGCTGCTGCTGCTGCTGCTGCTGCTAGCAACACCTGGGATGTAGTCGTCGTTCCGGCTCTCCGGCAGGCTCGACAGGAACTTGTTGTAGATGATCGCGAGCATCGTTGGCATCAGGCAGAACTCACAAGCTACGGTGACGCCTATCAGGGTCGGGACGTTGGTCTTTCCGTTGATCGAAGCCTTGATCCAGTCCGCCCTTGCGATTCTGATTAGGACGGGAACGGCTATACCGATCCCCAGGTTGACCATCAGGTGCAGATTTTTCCAAGAGCACATCCTCCTCCTCCTCGCCCTCCTCTCCCTATCCGTCGCTGCCGTGGCTCCAATGCTCGTAGCCTGCGGTTGTACCACGTGGAAAATGTTTCCGTCCCTATCGGCGACTGTCCGCTCCTCCTCTTCCTCATGCTCCTCATCCCGAGTGCTTCCCATCTTTTGATCCCCGCCCTCTGTCCCAGCCGGACGGTGCAAGTTCGAGGCAGCGGAGGAGGCAGGAGGAGCAGGAAAGATCTCAGACAGCGCGTCTTCTGTTTCCATCAGCCTCTCGACACTGACCTCTGTGTTCATCGACACATCCGACGTCCTCTGATCGGCAAGGCTGTTCGTCTCCTCCACACGATCGTGAACTTTCGTCGACAGGGCGGACTCTACAGCCTTGTCCGCTGCTTCCTGCATCTTTTCTACCTCTCCCTCATCCTCGACGATTTCCTTGTTGTTGCGCTTGTAAAGACAGGCAGACATAACAGAATTCTCACCATGCTTTCGTCATCGTCAACGTCGTCATCCATCTCCTCACGACAGAAATACGTGTCTCCCACCTCGACAAACTCTTTCCGCAGGCCAGGGCTGAAGATGCTTCCCGCCGCTTCGCCTACACCAACGTGTGAACTTGGCGAGTTGACTAGATATGAAATCACCTTGCAAGAACTTTGAACGAAGTGACGCTGCCGCACGAAGTGCCGGGATAGTTTCCTCCTCTTGAGTACTCCTCGTAGCAACAGCTTGCATGTTCACATCCGAGGGCAGATCAGGAATTTCCTTCTTGGCCTCAGGCACTAGTTTTGTAATCTTCTTCTCCACATCCTTCCAATGCACTCCGTTCGACTCGACGAGAGCTTCAAACTCTGAAAGAGGGTCCTGCGAGCAATCATCAACATTGGTTGTTCTCACTGTTCTACAAACTCACTCTCTGTCTAAGAGCAAGTTCCACCAACACAATAGATCTCGAAATGTTCTGCATCCATCTGAACATTGAAAGCAAGAGCTCAGACTGCTTGTTGACAAGACAACCAGCTATCACTTCGAGTCAGACTTGGAGAAAGAATCTTCATCCTTTGCCAACAAGTTCTCTTTCTCCAAGTCTCCGCTGGCAACACTGTTATCCTCCTCGTTTCTTGCATCTCCCTTCCTCACCTCAAGATCAGGGTGATCAGGTTAACCAGCTCTGCCCTCGGCCCCATCTCCGACAGGCTTGGCTCAGCATTCGACTCGTCCATAGGCACGAGCTGCAGCCATGCACGTGTGAGATCCAAGACATGCCTGCATGGAGGTGACCTGGTCGTTCTGAACAGATCGTGCGGCCACTTGCGAAGTTTCGAACATCGACGGCAGGTCGACATCGAAGCTCGCGGTCAGGATACTCTCGTCTCGCTCAGAGGGAGCCTCTTCTTCTGTCTCCTGATGATCAGGGTGAAGCATCCCGACTGACCCACAGCCAGGTGCTGAGAGTAGCTCAGACAGCAACTTTCATTATCTTCCTCCTTTCAACTCCACTGCTCATCGTCGTGCAGTCCGTTGTCTTCAAACCCAACCATTGCTCTCCCTTCTCTCCTCTCCTCTCCTCTCCTCTCCTCTCCTCTCCTCTTCTCTTCTCTCCTCTTCTCTCCTCTCCTCTCCTCTCCTTCTCTCCTCTCCTCACTGCCCCTCCTGCTTCAGGTTTCCCGTCCCTTTCGCATTTCTCCCGCCCAGGGCCTCTTCCTAGTCAAAACGTCTGAGGGGGGCTCGAATCTGAGGCGGGGAGGTGGAGGAGGAGGTGGAGGAGGGAGGAGGTGCGAGGAACAGCAACAGGAGGAGGAGGAGGAGCAGGAGCAGGAGCAGGAGGAGGAGGAGGAGGAGGAGCAGCAGGAGCTCAGGTTGTGGTTGTCATGATGGCTAAGGGGTGTAGAAGCAGACGATATCCATGACGGAGAGGGAGGTTGAGGGATATGTTTGTTACTTTGTGTTGCAGCCTACAAGGAAGACAGTGTCTTGAGCCCGAGCAGTTTCATGGGGAGGTTGCAGTAGGAGGAGAGGAGGAGAGGAGGAGAGGAGGAGAGGAGGACAGGAGGAGAGGAGGAGAGGAGGAGAGGGGGAGAGGGGGAGGGGAGGAGAGGAGGAGAGATGTGAAGGGATAGAGAAGACATGTACAGCAGTCGGACGTGCAGCTGGCGTTGCAGCACCAGGTTGAGCTCTCAGCGAGTGTTGGAGGGAGTACTAGGAAGACTCAGAGGAGGGCGATGATAAGCGCGGTAGGATGGAGCAGGAAGAGCTTGTTGTTCAGCTGAAGCGATCTACTGCCTCAACTCTCGTAGCTCCTGTCATGTCATGTGCTCAGTTTGGCTGACGGCGCTCTGGTCACAGATCGGACATCAGCACTCGCAAGAGCGTCTCCTCCTCCTCTCTGAGCTGGCAGCGGCATGCAGGGAATCTTCTCCATGGGCGGCTTCCAGAAGGCGTTCGACGCGGCGAGCAGGCTGCTGCAGGACGAGCAAGATGAGTCCCTCCCCCCGGCTGCCATGAAGGACGAGGACGTCGAGTTTGCGGAGGGTCTGACGAGCGACACGTTCGCTCTCTTCCCCAGGGACAAACTTGACAGCTCCTGGGTGATGGTGCCGAGTCAGGAGCAGCACGCCAAGACCATCCTCGCGCTGTCTCGGAACCTCCAGCAGATTCGCTTCAGCCTCTGCCCCCGCAAACTCAAGGACGAGGAGTTCTGGCAGATATACTTCGCCGTGGTGCAGAAGGATTCGGCTGCCAGCGAGCTGGACGGCAGCTGGGGTTTCATAGGGGAGGAGAGCGAGACTGTAGCTGGCTGCGATGCAGTGTTGGTGCCAAAGAACGATTCGTACTGGGAGGAACTGGAGGGAGGAGAGGAGGGAGGAGCAGGAGCAGGAGCAGGAGCAGGAGCAGGAGCAGGAGCAGGAGCAGGAGGGGGACAGTGAGACCACAATGTGGAGTAGAGGAGAGGATGAAGCTAAAAGGAGAGGAGAGAAGAGAAGAGGAGGGGAGGGGAGGGGAGGAAACAGTATCTGCTGTTGTTCGATAGTTTGTACTTTAATGTGGTCTAGGATATCAAACATACTTCACGATTCTCAGTAAATTCGTGGAAAGTTACAGAAATGAGGGAGGAAAAAGAGAGGAGGAGGAGGAGGAGGAGGCAGAATGGGAGAGGTAGGGAGGAGTGGAGAGAGATGGAGGAGGGAAGAGAGGGAAAGGAGGAGAAGGCAAGAGCAGTACAGTACAGCATTTTCGCTCACAGAATTTACTGCCCTAGAAGCTCTCTGCTATGATTTCAACATCAGTCGAGTTTTCGGAGAGATCGGTCGTTGTTGGGAATACCCGCTTCTCCTGCTCTGCTTCGCCTTCCTGCTCTTCCTCCTCCTCGCCCTGATCCTGCCCCTCCTCCTCCTCCTCTTGGTTCTCCTCCTGCTCATGTCGTTCCTGTTGCCCCAGCCCCAGTCCCTCTTCCTGGTCCTGGTCCTGGTCCTGGTCCTGTTCTTGATTCTTTCTCTCCACCATCACACTCGACGTGGTTGCTCGTTTCCTCTCGCTCCTCGCCCTCGGCACCCCGCTGGTCTTCCTCCCCCTCCTGCTCTCGTACACGTTGCACGCGGTCTTGAACCTCCTCCTGCTCCTCACCAGCAGCCCGTCGCCCTGCCCAGCTCTTGCTTCCTTTGGAGGATGCGGATATACTGCTGACTTCTCCTCCCCTCCCTCCTGCCTACTCCGTGGAATCTCCTCCTCCTCCTCCTCCTCCTCGCCCCCTTCCTCCATCTGACCTCTGTCTTCCGCGTGCTCAAAGAGGCCGAGGAACGTCTGCCTTGACATCTCGGGAGCATGCGAGACGGAGGAGAGGAGGCGGATGAAGGAGAGAACCAGCCCTCCCGGGACTCCGAGCTTGAGGAGACTGTCGTAGAGATGGCTGACAGGAATCCCTGCTGCTCCTGCTCCTGCTCCTGCTCCTGCTCCTGCTCCTGCTCCTCTTCCCTTGAGCTCCTCGAAGGCTGCTTCCAAGCTCTCAAACTTCTCCACCAGTATCTTCTTCACAGCCTTCACGTCCTCTGTGTACGTGTGCTCGATGCGTTCCATGCTCGGCAGGCGAGTCACCGGCGCTGTCCTGGCAGACACGGAGGAAGAGGACGGAAGCCGCACGGTCCTGCGCATGAAGCGTTCGGTCTGAGAGGAGGAGGGAGTGCAGAAGCGCTGGAGGTCCAGGGTAGGAAGCGAGATCTGAAACCAGCGGGAAGGAGGAGCCAGGTCGTCTCTCCTCCGCTCCTCCTGCCCTGCGATCTTTGGCAGCAGGGAAGGCTGCTGGGAGGAGGCGGGAGGAGGAGGGGAAGAAGAGTGCTGTCCTCCCCTTGAGCGAGGAGGAGAGAAGCTGGTGGATCGCTGAGTGACCTTAAGGATGCGATCGGTGCGGGGGAGGGAGAAATTTCCTTCGCCGTTGGGCCGCCAGAATTTCCTGGTCGTCTGCCAGGGCAGGAGACGAGCAAGTCAGAGGAGGAGGAAGAAGAGGTGGACGAGAAAGCAAGAAGCCCAGTTCCAGAGGAGGAATGAGGATAGACGGAGTGAAAGAAGGAGGAATGGAGGAGGAAGAGCAGGAGAAAGGAAGGAAGAAGGAGGAGGGAGGAGGGAGGAGGGAGGAGGGAGGAGGGAGGAGGGAGGAGGGAGGAGGGAGGAGGGAGAGACCTTGATGTCAGGAGCAAGCTTCACTCGACTCGAGAAGTCTGACAGCGACCGGTAGCATCTCGGCGTACAACCTTGGGGGATCTCCTTGACGGGATAGAGGAGTGCCTCCTCCCTCGACGGGAACCTGACGGACACACGTCAGCGTTATCGCTCCCGCCTCCTCCTCCCTCTCAAACTTCTCCTCCTCCTCCTCTCTGCCCCTCCCCTCTTCCCTCCCCCTCCCCTTCAACCTCCTCCTCCTCCTCCTCCTTCCTTCTTTCCTTTGCTCTGCTCCTGCCTCCCTCCCCTCACCTAGCAAGAGACTCCTCATCCACTACGAATCTCCGAGCGAAGGAGACCATGTGCGCTCCCTGCACGTCCTCGATCCTCCCGAGCGTGTCCACATGCTGCCGCATCCTCTCATGCAGCTCCTCCACCTCCTCCTGGTCGCTGGTGCGGAACAGCTCCAGCGCATGCGTGTTGTACCTCCGGCAGCACTCCTCGCATACCCACACCTTCTTCCTCGCAAAGATCGGGTCTACCCATGGGTCGTGACATCTCCTCAGCAGCAGCTGCGCTTCCTTCATGGGCAGGACCCGCTGCAGGAAGCGCATGGAGGGCGGCCAGGCCTTCTTGACCTTCTCCTGGAACTGAGTAGCAGCCTTCTTCATCTTGTCGTCCCGCTGCGCCAGCAGCTTCTCCCGGGCAGTGAGCAGCGCGAGCCGATACATCCTCCTGTCCTCCTCTAGCTGCTGCTCAATGTTCTTGTGCGCCATAGTGACGAGGCTGAAGACGGAAGTGCTCGAGCTCAGGCCCTTCCCGTCTCCCCCGCCGCCTTCCTCGTCCATCGCTCGCTTCTCCTCCTCCCGCCTCTTCCCCGCCAGCTTCTCCCCCCTCCTCCTCCACCTCCTCTGGATATGGACGACCCTCTTCGACAAGTAGTCCATCTTCTTTCTCAGCGCGCTCTCGTCCACTTTGCGGCCCTCTGCCTGCTCCAGCAGCTGCTGCAGGCCCTGCACGTGCTCGCTGAACATCCAGAGCGACTTGAAGAAGCTGGAGTAGCTCACCCGCCCGTGCTCGTTCTTCTCCAGCAGATGGAAGATGATGTCACACTCTGCCTTGTTGTACCCGTAGTCCGCCAAGCTCGAGCTCAGCTGGATCCTCCCCAGGTCCCCGCTATCGGTCACGTCAAACTCCTCGAAGAGCTCTCGAGCTTTCTGGTGGAGGAGCAGCAGGGGGTTCTGCTCCTGCGAGATCAGGTTCAGGGTCTCCTGGTGCTTCATCCTGAAGACAACTCGGTTCAACTTCGTCCCAGGACTGCCGATGCGGAAGGCGTCCTCCTTCTTCTTCCCTGCCTGCCTGGGAAGCTGCTCCATCACCTCTTCAATGATCATCTCCTCCATGTTGCCCTTCCCCTGAGGGTCCTTCCCCTCCTGCTCCTGCTCCTGCTCCCGCTCCTGCTCCTGCTCCGGCTCCTGCTCCGGCTCCTGCTCCTGCTCCCACTCCTGCTCCTCCTCTTCCCCGAACTCAGCAATCGCGGCGCTCTGCTCCTGCAGCTCGTTCTTCGAGCTTCGCATCGCGATCGCCGTCTCCCACTCCTCCGCGAGGTACCTGGTCGTGCTAGGTGGGCATAGACCCTCATCCTGCTCGAGCTCAGAGGCAGCAGAGGGAGGGTCAGACTCTTGGACGAGGTTCTTGTGGGACACAGCACGGTGGACGGGGGAGGGATGAAGCTTGATGGAGATATCGCCGTCTTGTCGGACTGGCTGGCCCTTGTCGGGTGCGGGAGGAGGAGGGAAAATCTCATCGAGAGAGTTGCGAAGAGCCTCTGCTTGCTGCTCGAAGTCTTGGATGGAGAGAGCGCTGTGCCATATGTGAGTACGAGAGGAGGAGGAGGAGGAGGAGGAGGAGGAGGAGGAGGAGGAGGAGGAGGAGGAGGAGGAGGAGGAGGAGGAGGAGAGGGAGTTGTGGTTTGGGGGGGTTGAAAGGAGGAGGGGGAAGGGGAAGAAGAGAGGGAGGGCTCATACTCGTTGAAAACGTCTTGCATGATGCGCCGCTTGGTCCTCGGGGTGACTTTCTCGAAGTCTGAAGGGCCTGCATGTCCCCCCCCCTCCTGGTGGTGCGAGGGATCGGAGTCCTGGTCCTTCATCTTCAGCCTCTCCTCCATCAGCTTGTTCATCTGCCGCCTCCCGTCAGCCTCTCTCGCGCTCATGCGAGGAGCTACTCACGAGCATCTCATAGGTGACGGCGAAGTCGCAGGATCGCCCTCCTGTCACTGAGGGAGGGAGTGAAAGACAGAGAGGACCGCATGAGAGTGGAAGGAAGTCGGGAAGAGACGGATACGGAGAGAAGTGTTCAAGCGTGTTCAAGAGGAAGAGAAAGAGGAAGAGAAAGAGGAAGAGAAAGAGGAGGAGGAGGAGGAGGAGGAGGAGGAGCAACAGAGGAGCAGGAGCAGGAGCAGCAGGAGGAGCAGGAGCAGGAGCAGCAGGAGCAGGAGCAGGAGCAGGAGCAGGAGCAGGAGCAGGAGGAGGAGGAGGAGCAGGAGGAGGAGCAGGAGGAGGAGCAGGAGAACGAGGAAGGAAAGAATACCTTCACACAGTCGGCATGGCGTCCCTTTCGGCGGCTTCTGCCCCACCGAGTCCTCATGGTCGTCGATGGCCATCCTGTCAGCGCCGAGGAACGCGGGGACGCTGATCATAGGAGAGAATCTTCCAGCAATGGTTTGAAGCGAATCGACGTACCTAGCGCAACATCAGTTCAATCCTGTTCCTCTTCCTCTTCCTGTTCCTCTTCCTCAGCCTTGTCTTTCTCTTCCTTATCTCCATCTTCCTCTTCCCGTTCATTGTCTTCATCTTTCTGTCCCCTGTCCTTATTTCCCGCTTCCTTCTCATCTCTCCACATCCTTCTGCTCAAGAACGTTTTTGCACGACCTCGAATCTCTATTCTTTTCCAACCTTCCCCTCCTCCACCCTCTTTCCCCGCTCTGCCCCGACCTATCCTCCTCCATAAATGACATCAGTTACCTTCCATGCGACTGGTTGGCGATGTTGATGGTGCTGGCCCACTGGAAGACAAGTTGATTGTTTGTTGTGATGCGGAAGTAGCCGGTGAGCGAAAGAACTTTGACACGTTTTGTCACCTAGACAGGTGTGAGGAATGATTTGATAGAAGAGGAGGGAGTTGTTGAGAGTCGAGATAAGGAAAGGTTTCAACGACAGAGGGCAAAGAGGAAAGCTCGATGACAACGATAGGATCTCACTTTTTCGATGTGATCGGCAATCTCTCCACACTGCGAAGCAATCCTGAAATACGAATCAATGAGACGGAAGAGCGGTACTCAAGGAAAAAGACAAAGAAATTGCAGGAGAGGTGTGCTACATCCGAATTCTCTATCCTTGGCTCCATCTCCATCTCCTCCTCCTCCTCCTCCTCCTCCTCCTCCTCCTCTCCTCCTCCTTTCAATCTTCATCCCCATCAAAACTCACCTGCAGTGCAGCTTGTTGGAGGGATGCAAGCTGATCACCTCGCTCCTCCCCTCCTCGAACGAAAGTTCGTCCGCCTTCTTCACCAACGTGCTCTGCCCGAGCCTGACGTGGCTCCTCCTCTCCTCCACACGGCAGTGATGCCTCGTCCAGCCGCACTGGTACGTCCTATCGAAGTTGGGGTGCCCGTGTCGCACGTTCTTGGCAGGAAGGTACTTCTGCAGAAAGCCCTCCCTCATCGGATTCTCAGCTAGCACGAAACTCCTCAGCTGCTTCGAGTCTAGGAAGGTCACATGGTTCGTCGGCTTTCCCCGGGCGTCCCAAGAGGTCGAGACGAAGTAAGCGCAGATCTTGGACTCGTCCTGCACCCGGTCGAAGCAGCTCAGAATCGTCTCGATGTTGATGTTTTCTGTCCTTTTCTTCTTCAGCCGCGCATCGACGGCGCTGGTGAAGTACCTGGGCGTCGTCCATCCGTCAGATCTTGCAAGGAGCGGGAGAGTGGCTAGGACGTGGAGGAGAGCACAAGGGAGGGGATTCAGTGAGAGAAAAGTAAGAGGAACGGGGATGGAGGGCGGAGAATGACATGAAATAGGAGGAGGGAGGAGGGAGGAGGGAGGAGGGAGGAGGAAGACATGTAATTTCTTCACCAAGCAGCCGGGTATCCATTCTTGTAAATAATCGTGTCGGGAATGCGGACAAAGGCATGTTTCACTCCCTCAAGTAGGATCTGCCTTATCTTCTTGTTCACAAAGTCTTCGCTGGTGAGATCGTTCTTCCTGTGCAGCAGCTCGAAGACAAACGACACGTCGTACAAGTAAGCCTCGTTGTTCGTCTTTGCAGTCGACGCCATCTTGTACCTCTCGGTCGATGAGGACTGCGTCGACGATGTTCGTACACTCACACTGTCTCTATGAGACATGGTCGGACCCTTCAATTCACCTTCTCTCGAGGATGAAACGCTACTGGATTAGGCCAGCATGAGATGTATGGTTCTTCATCCTGTCAAACTGTCAGACTGACAGTTGTATGCTCGTCTAAAACCTCTCTCTGTCTCTGTCTCTGTCTCTGTCTCTGTCTCTGTCTCTCTCTCCCTGTCTGTCTGTCTGTCTGTCTGTCTGTCTGTCTGTCTGTCTGTCTGTCTGTCTGTCTGTCTGTCTGTCTGTCTGTCTGTCTGTCTGTCTGTCTGTCTGTCTCACTCCTCTGTCTCACTCCTCTGTCTCTCATACTCCCTTCTCCCTGATCTCTTCTCCCTGATCTCTTCTCTCTTCTCTCTTCTCTCTTCTAACCTCTCTAACTTCATTTCCATTCTGTCATTTGTGTTGGCGCACGTCAGTTGATTTTTTGGTGTTTGACTCGCCCTCCTAACATCCACCACCCTACCCCCAGATTCGAAATGTAGTTTATGACCACCCATATTTGATCGTTGAAAATCACTGTTGAGTACCCCGTCCATGACCACCCCACCCCTCATTCATGATGTCTTTCACCCCTGGTAATCAACGAGTGCGATGTTGAAGAAACTTGGGAACTTCAGAACACAACAGACTCGATGAGAGCAAGAAGAAGATACAAGTTCAGATGACACTGAGATGAGAGGGGCGACGTTTTCATGTCGTGACGGGAGGAGCAACGGAAACAAACCCAGAAAGGGCAGGAGCACACTAAGAAGTCTCAAGAAGAATCAGCTGAAGAAAAACGCAGGAGTAGCGACAAAGTGAAGTGAGGTGGCGGGCAGGATAACAGGAGGGATGGACCGACCTGCCGACCAGCTAATAAAATATTTTTCATTGCTAATCATCAGAAGAAATAAAATATCAAACAGGAATTACAAAGTTTCCATATCTACAAATCTGAACAGGGAAAGTGAGGAGCGCTCAGAAGGAACTTCTTCGAACAAACATGTTTGGCATCTCAGGGTTGTTCTGATCGCTGTTTGTTGAGCATGCGGAGTCTTTGCGAACAAACTCAACCTCGTTTGCGTTGCTAAGCGCCCTGGTAATCCCTTCTTCAGCCTTGGCCTGTCTTGTCAACCGGCCGTGCAAGGTGCTCTTCTGAAAACGGTCGACGTTGCTGCTGCCCACGGAATTGCGCGAGCGGAACGAAGAGCCGACAACATTCGAGGAGGATTGCCTCCAGGTCTTCCTGTCGCTGCCTTGGTTCTTGGAGGAATCCGTGCAATGTAGGAGGCACTGGACGAGGATTGCGCACGCCTCTCCTTCGAGCTTCTTGTTCTGAATCATCTTCGAGATGTTGAGAACGTTGTTGGCGTACTTCGAGGCGAGGTCATGCTGGTTCTGATGGAGGTACACCCTCGCCAAGATCTCATGCGCCCTTCCCTCCATGAAAGGGTCCTGGCAATGTCTGGCAATCTCCAAAGCCTGCATGCTTGCACGGACCGCACGTTCGAGCTCCAGGACCGAGAGACACTTATCAGCCAGCATGATGGATGACATGCACTCCAGCTCCTTGTCGCCCGTCGCAAGCGCGTGCGCGATCGACTCTTTCAAGGACTTGATCTCCAGCAAGGTAACAGGGTCTATGCTCGACGAGTACACGGAACCCCGGCGACCGTCAAACGAACCTCTCTTGGATACATCATCCATCACCTTTCCTTCAACTTCTTTCGAAGATTCGGCATGCTGTGACGCGCCGGTGTTGTCTGAAACCTCGTTCTTGCTGCGAGACGACCTCCTGTACGACTTGGTGTGGCTGAATTCGTCTTCGTAGTTTTCAATCCAGAAACGAAGCACCCAATATCCGATTCCGAATGTGACCATGACAAAGACCAGGATAGTCAACGACGATGCGTGAACACCCAGTGCGTATGGAAGGCCAAGTGTCACCATGGCGGCTCAACTTGTTGAAGAAGTCGGACGCAAAAAGCAAGCAAGCTGTGTCAATGTGATCAAGTCCCAAAGATAGCTCTTGTCCACACAACGAAAACAAATCTTCGTGATCAAAGACCGAGTATGCTCCAAGGAAGTGATAGGAAGCGGCTTCAAACAAAGATGATCGACAGGGAAGGAGCGTGAAACAAGCCACGGGTGGGCAGCAGGGTAGGGAACGATGGAGGTAACGAATGGATGAAGTGTATATGATGTTCGTGGGATGTGGGGTAGGGGTGGACAAAAAATCTGAAGGGGGCCTTCAAGCGGGGTGGGGTTATGATTTTGCAAGTGGGTAAGCTGTGAGAATTGCCAGGCAATCAAAAGACAGGGAGAGGGCATCGATATGTATAGAACATCATTATGCTTATAATGGATACCTGGACCCTTTACGCTTGGAGCAAACGGCAATGAAACGATTCAGGGAAAACATGGGTGGGTCCAATCATTATAGGCTGACTGGGGTAGGGTAGTGATTGTCCTTGGGCTCCCAAAGGCCATGCGGGGCACCGGTGCTATAACATTGTAAAACGGTACTTAAAAACATTATTGCAACCAATAATTGTTGTACGCTGCCCTGGTGGACACGTCCAGGGCTTGGCTGGAGGGGATGACGTTAGGAATTTTCATGGTTCATGAGTGGGGTAGGGTAGTACAAGACGGGACGCCTCTTTGATCCCGAAGGCAGGGCTCGGAGCGAGGGTGGGGTCCATGGAGGGGTTTATTTTGAGGTGGGACTAACTGTTTGATAGGGGTAGTCATACGTGCAGGTGGGTGGGTTTGCAGGGTAGTGGTGGGGCAAGGTGGCTGTTTACCATGCCGTTGACTTCGATGTAGAACGTTCGAGGAAAGCACCAAGGTGGGTGGTGGGGATGGCAGGGGCTGAAAGGGGTTGGTCCTGAAGGTAGAATGAGGGGGTGGGGTCATTTTTCAGGAGGGGGGGTACCACTCCTGGAGTCCTTTATTAATATTGAGAGAAGACAGGTAGAACTCCAGCTGGATCCTCAACGTAAACTTCCTGATGTCTCCTCATGAATTTTGTAATCATGCTCTTAACTTTGAAATTTCAAGATCATCATTCAGAAACCGCAGTCCGAAACTGTTGGCTGCTGTAGTAAAGAAAACCCGAATGGTCATGTAGTAAAGTAATACGAAAATCTGAAAATCTCAAGTTTCATTTCATGTGCCGGAGTCATAGGGACAGAATCTTTCCTAGTACCAGGTCCTAGGTAATCTCCCCTGGTAGATCTCTTGTGACCAGAAGTTATCTGAAAATAAAAAAGAAAATGTGGATGATTTAGGCACAATTGTGAAATCTGATCTGTATACTTCAATTTTTAACAACAAATTTGGGGCTAGAGCTCGAAGGTTTTAAAGGTATGTACTGCACGGTCTACCGTACTAGTGAAGCGACTGGTACTACCACGGCTGGCTGTCACGGGCACCATCGGAGTGATCAGCAGTGCACTAGAGCGCTTATGTCACAGCTGAGGGTGACAGCGCAGCCTCCTTGAGTCAATACCAGGACAAGCACTACCGTACTACTACATCCGGGGGTGCTGCTACTTGATGATCGGACCAGTCACGGCCGGGCCGCTCCGGAGGCTCAGGCTATCCGGGGGCCGCAGGCCGGCCCCGGCGCCGGGCTGCTAATGAATCCTTGACGGAGTCACATAAACGGTACTGATTTTTAACTTAACTTTGAGTAAAGGAGCCTAGTCACATGGAGTCACGGCAGATCACTCAGTACGAGTAGGATATCGGAGCCCACTGGCCCAGTGCCCAGCCCAAACTGAGAGAGTCATGACAGATGTAACTTGAAAACTGTACAGCAACGGATATTCTGCGACCAGAGGAAGCATCCTCGGGGTGGGCTGACCCCCGGGCCTGGTGAAGACTTTATAAGTGTGGGGGCACCTCTAGTCCTTCTCTCTCCTTCTCTCTTTCCCACCCTCTCTCTTTCCTCTGAGTCTCTCTTTTCCTCCTTCTCTTCTTCCTTACTTAATCTCAGTTACTTCGCTCCGTTCTTCTACTCTTTTCCTCTGCTTCATAAATACTCTTATCCCAGAAGTCAATCACCTACCTGCACCCTACTTCGCTACTGCATACAATCCATCGGTTATACCGTACTCTACTACGCCAGGGCTGACTTCTTTCTCCAATACGGCCTTGCTCAGTCTTGGGATATTCCTACTTTGGTGCACCTACTGCACTGTTCGACTCATCTGTTCAATCTACAAAACATTATCTGACTGGAAAGGACGCAGATTCGTATACTTTCCATCATTGCTGAACCCGTTCAGCAGAAACAAATCGTCGGTTAAACAATTCAATGGCACGACAGACTGGACAACCCTCGTACTACCTTGCTGCTGTCTCCGTGCTGTTCTCCATCCACTTGAGCAGATCAGCTCTACAGAACATCCTCCTCGACGCGACAGCAACCAATCTCTCGTAGAGGTTCTGCTCCTTCAAGTCAGCAGCGTTACACACACAGACGCTCCTCCCCCTTGCCTCTCGAGGTGTGTCGAACACGATGCTGGCGTTGGCGAGGAAAGAAGTGAGGTACCACCCGCCTTCGTGGATCTCTCTCTCCAACTGCAGTGGGCCCCATGCAGCAAAGCCGTTGAGCAGCAGCTCATTGGCACAGGTCCTCTCCCCAATGGCAGCGGAGGCAGGAGGGGGGTCCTCCTTGTCACCCTCCTGCATCTCGTCGAGCTGAGAACGATTCTCCTCCCCTACCTGAGAGTCGTTCCTCGTACTCGATGTTGACGTCTGCGAGTCAACAGAAACCAGGTTCACGCTGTCCGTCCTATCGTCGTCGCTGTACATGTCCCCAGGCTCCTCGAAGCTGAGGCCCACAGGGCGACTGTGCAGCTTGTACGGGGAGGGGAAGACGTAGACGTCGTCGGTGATCATGGTGACGTTCTCTACCTCCCGCGGGACGGTCTTGGAGAGGATCTGTTTCGGGTTCACTCGGCGCTGAACAGGAGGAGGGCAAGCTCTCATACCATCCTGCCATGCTGATCGTCGTTGAGGCTCACGGGGCCTCCATAGAGGAGAGCGATGTCTGTCAGGGGAGCTGTCAGAGGAAGAGACGACCCCAGCAGCCCTCCAGCTGTGTTTCACCTCGACCGTTCAGCCCGTCGGTGGAATTTGGAGGGTACATGCCACCGAGGCTGAGAGAGTCAAGGTCCTGGTTGATGATGACTCCGATAGTTCGCATGTCATTGTGCTCGGTTATCAGAACAACACTTCTGCCAAAGGCGTCGTCTTGCTGCGATGCAGTGTAAGACACTGACGAGGCATGCACGAACTGTGAACATCATCCCACCTCACTCCTTTCACTGATCAACAATGTTCCACGTCGAAGTTCAGGGATTCGTATCCTCCCTATCATCTCCATGATCTTGGGGAAACCCTCAGCTTCTGCGGTCGGCAACAAGGATGCAATCATTCACCACTTGCAACCGCCATATCGTGCTCGTTGACTGTTTCAGCAGCTGATATGCCCTGCGAGGCATCTGCAGCACGTCCACTGTCAAAGTCTGTCAGGACCAGCATGGACCAGCAAAATTTGGGAGTCTTGATGACCTAGCTTGCTACTTCCTTCGAGCGAGAGGGTTTCAGGATCGATAGGCAGGCCGTCGTGCCCGTCTTCTGTCGTTCGCAAGACGTTGGTCAAGACCAGGGGGAGCTGAAAAGGAAGGTGAGAAGGATGCAAGAGAAGAGTTCAACAGAAGACCATCGTCTTCGCAACGTAATACATAGACTGTAACGTCTGCGGCCATCGCGTCAGTCCACGTAAACATCCTCAATAGAAGACAACACCCGCAGGTCCTCTTCAATATTGTCACTGATTCGGACACCCCTCCCAAAGTAGATTCTCATCTTGGCGCTTTCGTTGCTGCGATCCTCGACCTTCAACCACCATCAAAGACCATCGCTGCGTCTTTTCATCTTCACCTCTGTCAACTTCACCCTTGCGAGCGATCGCATCTGTACTGCATATTGATTCTCCACCTGATTTCCAGTCAAGTTCAGAGCAAGAACAACACCTGCACAGTGCCTGCATTCCAGGAAACATGTTGGATATGTTCAAGGACTGGAACTTGCTGATCTGAGATCTCACGCAGTTAATATACCAGGTTAAGATTAGCTTAAGAATGTAACGGTCGTGGGGGAAAGTGAAATGCACACCTCGCACTCCATCGCAATGCAGCCCGGAGCAGAGTAGCCTGGGCTGAAGGTGGCCTCACGGTTAGAGTCCATGTACAAGATGTTTGATTGAGATTCGAAACTCCTTCGCAGTGTTTCCAACAAGGCAAATGAATCCGGGAGAAGCCACAAGGCCTCACTGCCTGCAGGTGCCATGGATTCATCCGCGAGGAAAAACACACAATGAAGCCATACCCGGGGTGAGGATGATGTGTCCGCAGAAGATGGGAATCGGCGGCTTGTCCAACAGGGGCACATGGCTCAGATCTTGTACCTCCTAGAGGTGGACATAGCGCTTGTCAATTGACGGCAGTTCAAACTGAGAGATGGTCACTTTCGCTATCTTCTCCATCTCCGTCGGGAATATCAACTTGCAGACTGACGCTAAGGCATAGTTGACGCGAAGAAAGACTGCTATTCCAACACAAGTCAAAATGGTTTCTTGATGTTTAGAATAAATTCATACCAGCACTGCCGATCGGGAAGCGGCAAAGTGGGCAGATAGCGTTCTGAGACAAGAGCCAGGATCGGATGCATCGACGACAGAAAGAATGTCCACACTGGGAGCCATCAATGTGTGAACGCAGGAGGATTAAAAGGAGGCACCTCAAGCGTGGTTGGCTGATAGAGGAGGTTAAGACACATGGCGCATTCGAGAGATTTCTCCACTTCTTCCCTCCTACCGCTATCGGTGAAGACCGATAGTCAACTTGCCACAGCTTGTACCTGAGGTTTTCTGTGCCATCTTCGGCAACCTTGACGTTCTTTGAGCTCGACTGATGGAATGGTATCCCTGGCCAGCCCCCTCGCAGCCTGCAACCAACATGTTTGGGCATGGACGAAGGAAGGAAAGTCGGCTCAACATACCTCAGCGAGAAGACTCTTCCTTCTGGTGTTGGAATGCTTGCAAGCTGCTCAGCACGTGGATCAGAGAGCGGCCAATCACCAGAGATCACTTACCCCTATCTTCCTATGTGTAGTCTGCACTGCGGTGAGTTGGACGATGTTTAATAGTGTAACAATCAAGGCTGTGTTGCCGACGGTATGGCGTGCTTGCATCGATCAAGGCGTGCTATTTTGATCAATAAACTCTAAATTGCACACCTGAAACATTGTTAGATAACGGAATTTTCTAATTTCGCTCGTAATCCTGCACATGCGAGATATCCACTAATGCGTTCTTCGATTCTTCCTCACCCTTGTCATTGATTTTGTTGCTGATGCTTGTTACATACTCATTGCCCCTCCTCCCTGCCTCCTCACTTCCTTGCTGATCCATCATCAATCCTCTCCTCCTCCTCTCTCTCCTCCTCTTTACTGTCTAGCAGCATCTCGATCTCTCGTTCGCATGACCGCCATCATCGATCCTCCTGTTGCGTCAAGCCATGGTTGAAGCTGCAGGGCCGCAAGAAAATTTTCTCATGTAGAATATCAAAAACAAGTCCGCCTCAGGTATACACATATCAAATAAAAAAGGCATTAAATTTCTGTTAGGCCGATATTAAACTCGCACTTTCACAGTATGGTCCGCCTCATTTAGGGTTAGCGGCTGCTCCGGGCCGCGGCCCCCGGGCCCGGGGGGCCGCCATGGCTCCACTGCCGTGTTATTATTGTACCTGACCACTCGAAAGTTCGTTTTTGACGGGTAAAAGTTCAGTAACTCCCGTCAAATGTTCGTGGTAGAGCGTAAAAGAAAGTTTGTAGCCCCTGAAAAGCTCATGTCCTTTCTCCGAAAGTGCGTATTGCCCGGGAAAAGTTCATAGTTTACTGTCATTGTGTCGTCAAAAGTTCCTTTACTAACGACCGTTTCATTTCCAGGACCCTCCCACACTCAACCATAGGCATAAGTACCCCCTGGTTCATAGAGTAATAGCGGCTGGAGTCTAGGGGTACCTCTATGACGGTACCCACCCTCTGTCCACGAGGACCCCATCGTTCTTCGTCAATGCATATTGTGCCCTGCAATACGGAGGGGTAGTGGGATTAACATTCAGGGTGGAGGTGACATGGGGGTACTACCAGCATGGTAGGGGTTGTTTGTTGACGGGTCCTTGCAACTTGGTGTCATCCCGAAACCTGTGGGGTGATAGAAGCGTAAGTTTCACAGGTGGGTAGTTTATTCAAGGGGTAGGGTACATGGTGGAAGAGGGTAGGGGTCAAGTTGGGCCGGGAGCGGACCGATAGGGTGGGCGTGGAGCGAAAATGATGGAGGAGATGGAGGAGGGAGAGGACGGAAAGATGGGCGACATGAGCGGATCCCCTTTGGTTCGGTCGCTACGAGCTCGTCTAGAACGCGCTGAGGATCAGTGAGTGGCTTCATGCCTCCTCCTGCTTTCTTTCGGTTTGACTTGCTCGTTGCAGAGTCCGGCGAGCCCGCGAAAGGGAAAAAGCTCTTCGAGAAAGATTGGAAGGAGATGATATCTCACATTTGCTTGCTGCACAACGCTCACAGGCGGAACTCTTGAGGTCAACCATTTCCAAGCTGTACACGTTGCATGACGATCGGTGATACTCAGGAAAGAGAATCAGGAACTCAAACATAAGATCGAAGAGCTTAATTCAGGCAAAAGCGTAGATTTTGAAAGCTCCCCGAATCGGTATTGCTGACAGCAAACAGTTATGTCATAGATTGATATGAATCTATGCAGCGATCAGCTGAAAGAGGCTCATCGAGTCGCCGACGAAGCACACGACAAATATCGACAGCTATTAAAAGAGCATGGCGAATGTCAAGAGAAGTTGATGGAAAAAGAGCAAGAGAATTCGAAGGTATACACGAGCCATTTCAAATCTAACTAAATCGTATATCAACAGCTGCAAATGAGTCTGAACGAAGCAAAGAAACAGCTTGAGAGCGTGAGCGAGCTAGAGAAGAAGGTGATTCTCTGTTACCTGCTGCTACTTTGATTATTAATCCCTCAATGGAAGGTTCAAGACTTGACTAGGCAACTGGAAGATGCCTCCAATGATTTGGAATTGGCTGCGGTTGACTTGGATGTTCTGCTAAAGACATGTTGTGACATTTTGAGTAGGAAAGTGATATGAAGAAACAGCGCGAAATAGAAAATCTGAGTCAAGAAATTGAAATGCAGCAAATGGATATCTTGGCTTTGCAACGACAACTTGCTGAGTCTGCCACGGAAGATGCAGGTGTCTGATATATCGGTGCTACAAAGCAACACTCACGGTGGACTTGATTGAATTCAGCGCTGATTGTTCAGAGAGATCACGAGATTGCAAGCATGCGAAAAAGCATGACATCTAATGAGGTCCATACTTTCTGTTGGGTGATTGCCCTGAGGCTGAGTTTCGATGTTAGGTCCTCGAACAACTGCAAAAAGATTTGGACGACTCAACGAACCTTTCAAGGTATTCGATGCAACAGAACAGGCGAGAGAATAAGAGATCGCTGTTTCAGATCACGTCAAAAGAAAATTTCCGAGTTGGAATTGCAATTAGAAGATGCTGGAGTGATGTGGAGAGCTGCTGTGGCTGACGGGCAGGCATTGCGAGCAAAGTTGAATGAGGTAGAGCAATGGGCCTCAAAGGTATCGCAATGCTCTCATTTCTCTTGAGCTAATCATGTTCTATCAGTCGATGCATTACAAACAAGAGTTGGAACTCAAGGATAAGGAGTTGACGGAGATCAAACGCGAGATGCAAGATAAGACCCTGGACTATGAATCCATGAAGGGGAGGCTGGAAAACGCGCATGCCGACCTGCAGGAATGTCGCGAGAGGATCGCAGAGCTCCTCGAAAGTCACGTGAGCAGAGCAACAATGAAGAAGGCATTGCAGATCTCGGCAAGCACCCCTTCCCGTCACTTGTTTCTTACTGATAACTTTGGGTCCAGGAGAAAGAAATAGAGGAGAAGGCTGAGGAGGTAACAAGTCACGTTTTGGACGAGAACCCTGAGACAGGTTGTCTTGCGCAGGAAGTGAAACTCAAGGCAGAGCTGTACATGTCTCGAGAAGAAATTTCAAATTTGAAGTCACAAGCGCACAATACACGAGCTCGTCGAATAAAGAGGCTCCTACAGATGAGGAGTTCCTTGCACGATGTAAATTAAGATCGGAGATCATTGCATCGGAGTGATTTCTTTCTTTTATGGTCAGTTTGAACAAATGTTGACAAAAGTTCATAAATCATCCATGCTGCTTGAGCAGAACAGTATTGGAAAGATCGATAGGTAATCAATTGCTTTTTTTGGAAATGTATTTCTGATCGTGTTCAGGCTGCAAAAGCAAAAACAAGAACTTCTCAAAAATTTGACCAAGGTATTTGAACAAGAATCAAATCATTCGCAGATGAATCCATTTCTTTGTTTTCCAGACGAATTTTGCATTGGAAGGAAAACAAAAGCTTGAGCAGCTTTCAAACAAAGACGTATCTGCTCAGATTAAGTATCAACTTACGATGCAATACATCACCTTCTCACCGTATTTCAACAGATTTTTCAAAAGCAGACTGATTGAGATGGAACAAACAAGTCAAGTCGACAAGGACAAATTGGAAGATTTCGATCACTACGCTTCTGATTTGAACATCGGGCTGATACGAGTCGAGGAAATGGTGATAATGTGTGAGAACCGTTTGAAGGAGGTCATCAGGAAGTTGAAGGTGTAGCCTCAGAAAGGAGAGAATGCTTGTCGCGACTGAATCACATCCAGATGAAAGGATTTTCCGTGATAGGTGGGATGTTTGACTATCACAGAGACTCGGGGATTTCCAAACAGAAGAACAGGTTGTCCCCAGTTCACCAGCTGTTCCTTGAACTACAGGATCAAGACGATTTTCTTGACCCTGTCAACATTGACTTTGCTCCCGTGAGCGAAGCTGAGTCCAGAGATGTTGAGAGCTACAAGAGGAGGGTGTGTCCATTTTGACCCGCTTTGAGATTCCATTCATTCATTGTAGGTTGAGGAGTTGGAGGAGAAATTACAGCTTCTACGCTCAAACTCTGTCCCTATCGAGGAATACAAACAACTCTCAGAAGGAGTATTGAACGAATGTGCATCTGTTCAAAAGAATGCGATGCAAAACATCAGCGAGAGGTTTGCTTTCAACTGTTATGTCATAGAAAATGATCTGGTTCGTGGTTCTGATAGGTTCCGAAAGCAAGGAGACGTAATCGCGAATCTGGAACGTGAAAAACGTATCCTTGGATGCTGCTTGCTTTCCTGTCTTACTCAAAAGACAGGAGAGCTTTCTCAGTCCCTCCAGACTGCTAACTCAAACCTGAGCCATTTCAGGTGACCTCGAACGCTTCTTTGCTGAGGCTGGAATGACAGAAGAATGTTTTGAAATCAGATCCTCGCTTGCTTACTACAAAAGTACTCTTCAACAAGCACAGAAGGAATACGCAAGACAGAAATCAGAATTGATGGCAACGGTATCCAATCTGCAGAACAGGTGTGATCAGCTTGTCAAGAAGGCGTTACAAGAGTGTAACATGGAATTTTGAAGGTTGAAACAGACGCAAAAGGAATTAGAGGATGCGCAAGATCATATCAACAAGAGAACACAGTCAACAGAACAATCTTTGCGTGATTTACAGGTATTCAACAACAGCTGCATGTGAAATTTTCTGATGAGATCTCAGCTTCAACTCAACGATGCACGGAACGGCAAAGCTTTGGTTGAAGCAGAACTACACTCGGCAGAGCAGGACATAATTAAGCTAAAGTCCGTCATTAAGTATGCAACCGACGCTGTTCGCAAAGCTGCGGAACAGAGATCCGAGTTGACTGCGATGATCAACGAAGGTTGAATATGTTTCTGCTGGGGTTGGATAGTCATTGGAATTATGGCAGGTGAAGTTGAGAAGGAGAAATTTGAAGAGATGAATGCAAAACTTGCCGAGATCGAGCAAGATCGATCAGAAATATTTCAAAAACTGAGCGAAAGTATATACAGAGAACATCAAGCCCTTCGGCAGTGAGTCCTAGGAGTATGGGAGGGAATGGATCAGGAGTGATGGTGGTTCAGGCTGGATGAAGTCAAACACCGGGAAGGTATAGCTCTCGAAGAGTTGGAACGATTGCGGAACGAAGTGAAAGAGAGCAAGTCGAGCGGGGACAGTCAACACCTGCAGGTGAGGGGCAGATGTTGATGTGGGTTGTTGGACCTGATCCTTGAACAGATACAGGAGAAAGCGCAGGAGATGAACCTGTTGAGGATGAACACAGCTCCTCTTGCCAGGAGCATCACGGAGGAAGTCAGATCCATTCGTGAAGATCTTCAGAAGAGCGCAGCTCTGTGGACGCTGCCGAATGAGCGACTGCTGGAGGAGCGAGCGAGGTATCGTGACCAAATCATTCGGTTGGAAGGACAGATCTCCGAACATACAAGACAGATGCTTCAGGTTCTTGTTCTGCCCTGTCCCGCCGACGACTGACATGTCCGATTCACCAGGTGACGCAAGACTATGAAGAAAGATTGAGGAGAGCTGAAGGGCAGCGTGTGCGTCGGAGCTGGGCACAAACACAAGAAGCGAGCAAGGCCGAGGTGAACAGCGTGAAGCCTGAGAAGCCCAAGTCAACACCCAAGGAGAGGAAGGAGAGGAAGGTTGAGGGTAAAGTCTCACCCCAGCGCATGAGAGCAGCCATGTCTCCGCTTCGATCGCCGAAACCTGTCAAGTCGGACAGCGACAGCGACAGCGACGAGTCGAGGCTGGCGAGGAGGATGAAGCGAGTGAGCGCGGCACATAAGGCAGAGGCGACGAGGAGGGAACAAGTTAGGCAGGCAGTGGATGAGGAGTCCAACGATGAGGACGACTACGTCCGATCCAGCAGAGTTCGTTTCTCTCGCGATGGGACCCCAGCCAAGGCGGTGGAGGAGCGAGGGGGCCAAGTGAAGGAGGAGAAGGTGAACGGAAGGCCGTCGCTGGGAAGCTCGTTCCTCGCGGCGATGGAGATAGAGCAGAGGATGTTCGGACGATGATGGGGGAGGGGAGAATCACTTGTAAATTCAAAGAGATGAGCTTGTTAAGAAGCAAACAATAATGTCAAGGTGTTTCAGGTGTCAAGGTCTCAACGAGGCTCTGCCGTCTTCTTCCTCTTGACCTCTTCCCCTCCTCTTCTCACTCGCTCGAGCGACTGTCGGAAACGCTGGATGATCCCCATGACCTGCAGGCCTTGAAACCTCCCCAGCCAGCCTTGCGCGCAGCTGACTTCATCGAATCGCATCACAGAGTCCGACAAAACTTCCTCCTCCTCCTCCTCCCCTCCGTCGTTGAAGGGACGCTTCTTGGATCCGCCCTGCCGTATCTCACCCTCCCCCCCCGCCGTCCGGAGCTTTGAGGCCACTGCCTGCAACGCGTTGACGTGTCAGGGTGCAGGCGCGACCGTGACGATGTATGAAGGCAAGCTCGGAAGAAGTTGAAGAGGAGAAGAAGGCAGGAGGGAGAAAAGAGAGGGAGATCAGTTGGTGATGATGGAGGGTGAGAAGGAGGGCGGAGAGACAGTGGTGGTGGCAGGAGAGGAGGAGGAAAAGTCAGGAGGCAGAAGAGAAGATGCGGAAGGGAGGGCGAGGAGAGCGCGAAATGAGTTGGCGGTGATAGAGGAGGAGGAGGGAGGAGGGACAGCAGTGGTGGTAGTGTGAGAGGAGGAGTACAGCATGCGAGACCTTGACGGGAGCGATGGAGAAGGGAACGGGCTCAGCGCTATGGTCCCCGTATGCGACAGGGGTAGAGTGATCCCCCGTCACGCAGATGACGAAAGGCTTCCCTGCTGGAAAGATGAGCCGTTGTGAAGGGGAGGATTCAGGAGATCGCCTGTCTCTTGCTCTATCTCCGCCAGTCCCTTTGCTAGCTCACCAATCATGTTGTCAACCTTCTGCATGCCGGCAGTCAGCACCTCCTCCTCCTCCTCCTCCTCCTCCTCCTCCTCCTCCTATCTCCCCCCGCCCTCAACCCTCCTCTTCCTCCTGTAGACCTTCAAAAACTTGAGCTTCAATTCCGCACTCTTATCATGACCAGCATCCTGCACAGAAACCTTGAGTGGATGGAAAGAGAATAACGAGGAAACTAGTTTCGGGATTTGGATGAAGGGATAGCACCAAGGTGGAAGACACGGATGGAATGGAGGCAAGAGAAACGCAGGAGACACAAGTGATGATTGTTCTAATTGTGATGGTGATAGTGATGGTGATAGTGATGGTGATGGAGATGGTGATGGTGGTAAATAGGAAAGAGGGAGAGGGGGAGGAGGAGAGGGGAAGGAGCAGAGGAAGAGAAAGGACAGCAAAATTTCCTCACATCAACTGCCTTGACGTGAACAAAACCAAGCTCATACTCAGGAGTTTTCTTTTTGAAGGTTGCGAGAGCTGCGAACATGTGTCAATAGAATCTCAGATCCTCCCTTGCCCGCTCCTTCCTTGCTTGCCTTCCTCTCCTCCCTTCCTCTCCCTTCTCTTCCCTCGTACCCCCTCACTCCTTCCTCATCTACCTGTCCTGGCCTTCGACTGCAGGTCGGTATGATAATCTCCCGTGGCTCCGGGAGCATCAACGATGTCCATCTCTAGCGACATGCCGAGCCCGCGGATGAGGCAGGTGGGAGCAATCATGAAGCTTCTCATCCCGTGCTTCTCCTCGAACGTTGGCACCTTCTCCCAGCTCAGCACCCCAGCAGCAGCTCAGATCAAGACCTTCACGCGAGCCCCACAGCCGCGTAGGAGGACGGCGTTGGCCGGCAGCTTGCCTTGCTCCACCCGATCCTTGTTAATCTGGTGGTCCTGTAGAGCTTCGGTGATCGCCTGCACCACCACAACCAAGACTGTGAGGAGGAGGAAAATTTGCTCGCTGCAGGACCTGGGAGAGCGAGTTGACGAGCTTCGCTGTGAGCTCTGCCTCCTCGGAGGAGTCTAGCGGGCAGGAGCGTCGGAGGGGGAGCTTGTCCTTCAGCGGGTCGGTCCCAGTGATGTTGTCCGATAGGCTCGGGCCCCTCACCCGCAGCCCGCATCTGTGCTCGGTCGCGTACTTGACAGCCACGGAGTGCTGCTCGTGACAAGGTCAGCACGAACAGGAAGGGGGGACGGGGGGGGGGCGAGCCTGTGGGAAGGAGGGAATGGCGATCCCGTTGAGAAAGTCACATAGGATGGGTCCAACCTGCAGGAATTGAGTGAGGAGGAGGGAGGGAGGGAGGGAGGGAGGGAGGGAGGGAGGGGAGGGGATCAGACATTCTCGAAGTTTCTGTCTGCACGCCGAGACTCGACGATCCCGTCCTTGCCCAGGTAGGCGAAGTTGCACTGGACAAGACGCTCAGTGATTCCAAGAGCAAGGGATGAAGAGAGGGAAGAGGAGGGAGTATCAATTGGACAAGGGAGCGGAGCAGAGGACAGGAAGAGGGAGGGGGGCAGGGAGATGGGGAGGGAGGGGGAGAGGCAGAGGCAGAGGGACAATCAGTTCTACAGTCTCATCACCTTGAAGGCAATGTCGCCTGGCTGCATATCTAGCCCTGCACCCATAGTCTCGAATGCTCCCCGACCCCTGTAGTACCTGGAAGGGTGAAGGTGTGAGTGAGAAGGAGGGGAGGGAGGGAGCACAAACTTTCTTGGGTCGTAGCCGAACATGGAGAGGTGGGCTGTGTCACTTCCGCATGCCAGACCTGCGCGCGTTCAGTTCCCGCCACCAGCTCTTCTTTTCTCTTGCCTGCTTGCACCGGATCCATCAGCCCAGAGATACCCGAGGATGCTACCGAGCAGCAGGCGTCCATCTGAGCGATGTCCAGCAGGCTCCTCTTCACACTCTCCTCTTCCTCCTCTCCTCCTTCTCCTCCTGCTCCTGATCCTCCTCCCCTTCCGATGTCGCCGACCCCATCGATGAGCACCCAACACACGCCCATGCCGCCCCTATGTCCGTTACGTCCTCGTTGCTGACGTTACATTTATTGCAGCGAGGCAGGCTTGAACCTTTTTTTAAGCTTGTTCCAGGTATGCTTCATAGATTCGATGTATTGCTGATAGCGCTGTCCTGGAAGTGCGGAGAGCTTGGTATAGTCCAGGTAAGCCTTGTTGTTGCTGTCTTCCATGCCTTGTCTTCATGACCACCGGTTGTAAGGAGGACTATGTGGGTAGGGGTGATAAATGGGGGAACAGTATAGTGGTGGTTGCGCCAATACAAAAGGGCAATGCGGATAGTGCGGGCATGGAGGCTGAAGCGAGGAAGCGGATGGGGAGGAGGTCACCATGCACTCTCAAGCGCGCAGGAGAAGAGTATGAACTCAAACAACCATGCATGGAAGATTGTGCACCTCATGAGACATGGGGAAGGAGAGCACAATGCCGCATGTGATATTGCCGGCGATGAAGACCTGTATGAAGACGAACGATATTTCGATGCAGGACTCACGAATGATGGCAAAGAGCAAGCACGGGACGCAGGTATCCAGCTTCAAGGATCAAAGCTTGATGCAGTGGTAGCATCGCCTCTATCTCGCGCTCTCCAGACAGCCATGATCGCTTATCGGGCATGGAAGGACCACTCGCAACCAACGCTATCAGATCCGCGCTTCGTCTGTGTGGAATGGTGTCGAGAGGGCATGACTTACGGTGTACATCCATGCAATCGCCGGAGAGCGATATCAGAAGTTAAGTCAGAGTTTCCTCAGTTCGATTTCTCCCACATCGCTACTGACGAGGACGAGATCTGGCGGCGGGACGGGTCGGAGTCTCAGCAAGACTTGAATCATCGGGTTTCCTTGTTCTTGGAATGGCTTGAAAACCTGGAGGCAAAGCACGTGCTCGTCTGCACTCACTGTGTCTTCCTGCATGCACTCTTTGCCAACTTCGTCAGAGAGCAAGACAATGCCGTCAATTCCTGGTTTGGACGAGGAGAGCTGCGATCGTTTGTCTTCGAGTTCCAGAAATCCGAAAGTCCCTGATGAGCCGCCATGGAACACTCTGACATGCTCCACCTCCGATCGTGATGGAGTGCTCACTTCTGTCCGAAGTTCGGATGCTGCGGACTTGATGGCATTTCTTGATGCAAACCAGGGCTGCAGTCTTCACTTTCCGAAGTTGTTGAACTGAATGAACTATGCTTAGTCTCTTCGGGAGCCTGTCTGGTGTGAGTTTCACGTTTCTTGTTTGCGACACTCAGGAGTAACGGCCGCGGCCGCGTCGTTCTTCCCTCCGACACACTGACATGTCACAGTCCGAGCCCACTGCCGTACTTAGTGGGTGACACTCACGGTGAGATTGAGCATTGAAGTTCGGACCCGGCCGGGCTGCGGCCTGCTTCAAGCGGCCACCGGCGGGCCGCGGGCCCGCTTGCTATAACCGGGCCGGGTGCCAGGGTGCCAGGGTGCCACGGGGACGGTGACCGGGCCGCGGGCCCGGCCGCTTGCGGCCGCAACTTGCCTTAACACCGGCCCAGGCTCTAACTTTACTCAAAGTTAAGTGAAAGTTAACCATGACACCGGGCGTTTTAAAATGTGGTTATTGCTCTTTCTGATCATAGTACTATAATTTTATTTTTATATTCATTATTTTGTAACTTCGCATTAAATACTACTTGCAATACATATCTTCCCTAATGATTGTTGGTATCAAAGATATATATATATTACACCCCACAGTACAACAATAATACTTATTGATTCCTTGTAGTCAACTCTCAAGAGGTTTCACGGATTTTAAAAGTCGGTTTTTAAAACTCCTGTTTTAACCTGGGGTATGGCGAGAGAATGGGGGATGGATAGGGGGGAGCGAATGGGAGACTCTTAGAGAGGCAGGAAGACGTAGAGGAGGGATGAAGCTTGAAGTTTAGATAAGAACAAGGCTGAGAAAGACATCATCAGCTCATGAAATGGTGCTGAGGTCGCCCTTGAGCTCAATGAGCAATCGGAGAAGTACATATTTGGGTGGTGGATTGAAGAGGACAGGTAGAGGAAGACGAATAGATAAATTTCCATAGATGAATTCCAGACATAATAGTGATGAATAACCGTAGACGCCGACAAGAAGCTCGAAAAGATCATGGTGCTCTTGTCCAGGTTTGGAAAGCATAGCAGGCATGTCAAGAAGATCATAGCCTTGTCAATTACCAGAAAGAAAGACATCGTGTATCAGTGAGTCTTTCGTGATGAATATGTTTTGAAGCATAGAGGGCAGCAGATTGTTCAAACCTCCCCAAACGATCAGAAATGCGAATAGTTGTGAGGTAGAGCTAGGATAGCAACTGCATCAAAACTATGATGTGATTTGTTGCGATCGGGTACATTCGTTGAGTGGAAAGACGTCATGGGCACTGTCCATACGAGCATGAATGATCGGCTTGCTGACTTTGGTTGTTTCCAGACCTCAGGAAGCGAACGGGCCTTGAATCATGTTGAATCAGCTAATGAGACGGCTGGGAAATATGGCCATATAATCCTGTTTGCTCTAATATCTGATGAAGAGCCCTGTCTGCCATCACAACAAAGATCTCACAGGCATACTGAATGGCTCGGGCAGAGTGAAGAAGAAACATATCAACTTGTTCTTTCTCACGTTTGCCATTGTAACTCAATGCTCCTTCTCTGCTCCTCTTCCTCTCGTGACCAAATCACCTGAGCATCCTGTGACTTCCAACTTTCGTCGTGTGAATGGCTGTGATGGAGTCACATGCAAGGTATGTGATCACCCTTGTTTGCAGCTTCAGGCTCTGACTTCCTCCTCCTCCTCTTCCTCGTCTCTTGCATCAGACTTGCTCCTGCTACACCAGCTCCTGCTACTGCACAGTCTCCTTCTCCAACCTCATCGTCGATGGAGTTCTGAACAACCCGGCATCGAGCGGCTCTCCAACTTCTTCCATCAACGCCATCAGGTTGACAGTCTCCGTCGGCTGCGCCTCCCTGCTCCGCCCCTCCACCTCTATTTCGGACATCACCTACTCCCCCAACGTCGTCGATAAGGTTGTTCCCATCAGCAACAGCGCCGTATGCAGCGACTGCACGTCCTCCTCCCAGATCGCCTACCTCGAGATTTCTCAGAGCACCATAAGCAGCGTCAAGCTTGCAAACACACCCATCAGCGTCACTGTCGGGAAGGCGTCTGCTTGTCAAACTTCCTCTGCTCCCAGCTCCTGCCAGCCCTGCGTCAACGTCACGAGCTACCTCGATGTTCAGGTGTATGCAGAGTTCAGCTACGTGGCCACGAACAATGGGTCGCCTACTCGGCTCCTGCTGGGGATTGTGTTTGCGATCGTGTGGACGATCATCATGGTGGTTCCTGTCATTATCTGGCTCCGCAGGCGCCGCTCCAACAGCATCGAGGACCCAGCTGGTTTCCAGCAGCTCCACGTCATGATGCCGACATCACGCCGATCTGCGCGGCGGCGAGCGATCCGGACGCGCCCTCGTCGGTTCAAGGCGATGAAGCAGGTGGAGTGGGAAGGAGAGCGAGGAGAGAACAGGAGGCGGCATGGTTGGGTCCTGTCGAGTTCCGACATCGCCGAGCAGTCGAAGGAGATCCTGGAGAGGAACTCGTCCATCCTCGGCAGGAACGCACCAGCAGCTGTCGTGTGCAAGCTCGAAGACGGATGGTGCAAGATCGTGCGGGCTACCGAGAGGGGGCAGCCGCGAAAGATCCAAGTGAGCAGCGAAGAGATCGAGGTACTCGCTCCTCCCCTCGTGCTCCTCCCTTGCCCCCTGCTCACATGCCGTCCTTCTCTCTCCTCTCCTTGCTCACTGATCGGTTGCACTCGTCCTTCATCGTTCCCTTCTCCTTCCCTCCCGCTCCTCTCGCTCCCGCCCTCCCGCGTCCATACTTCTGCCGCCTTGTCCACAACCCTCATCCTGCCTCCTTCTCCCCCCTCCCCTCCCTTTCCTCTCTCTGACCCTCTTCCCATGTACAGAGAGAGAGCATGCAGAAGGAGGGATACGTTCTCATCACTCTCCCTCAATCTGTCCGCTACGGACAGGTGAAAACTTGCCCTTGCGCTCCCTGTGACCCTGACAGTCCTCCAGGGAGTGTCGGGCGACATTCAGGTTGACATCTTCGGCAACATCATCCCTTGGAGCCACTGCAAGGAGTCTGAGGACTTGAGGACCAAGATAGACAAGTGAGATGGGAGGGTCTGTTGGAGGAGAGAGAGACTTCAGCATGTTGCGATGGGAGATGTTGAGATGATGTGGAGGAGTTGATGATCGAGGCTGATGTACGACAAGTACATTTACTTGGATGCTCCTGACTTGATGTCCCTGAAGCTTCCGAACTGTGCTGGACAACTTCCGATTCTCTCACTTTGGGAATGATCGCAAAGAGCTGCACATTTCCATCGAAAGGTTCAAACCATCTCGTAGCTTGCTTGCTGGCCCTCATGCTCGTGATTTCAGGTCAACCCTCTGGCAGAGCTCCTTTGACACTGTCATGAAACTTTCCAACATCGACATGCTGCGGACATTTCATATCCAAGTGAGCAGGACGAGGGAGGAGGACGGATGGTAGTGGGTGCAGGGAGGAGGGGAGGGGGGCGGGGAGTACGGAAGAGGTGAGAGTGGAGCAGGAGCAGGGAGATACAAGCAGGAGCAGGTGGTGGTAGAGGATCATTGATGGAAGCGTGAAAGTGTTTTGGCCTTGTCTGAATGTTTTTTGTTTCAGTTTGTTGGTGAAGAAGGGTCGGACTTTGGCGGGGTGAGACGCGAATGGTATCATCTGATCACGTTGGAGTTGGTTAAGGTGAATGATCTTTCCTCTCCCTCTCCCCCTTCTTCCTCTTCTACCACTTTTGTTTCATCTTCATCATCTCTATTATGATCCATACCACTACAATCTTCTTCTCCTCTGCTGCCGTGACCTGTCGCTGCTCTGTGAAAACAATCGTCATCATTCCGCACCTGAACTTCCTTCCTTCTGCTCCTCCTCCTCTTCCCTTACTTATGACTGCAGCCGGAGTATGGATTGTTTGAATTCAGCGATGAATCTTACCTCTATCAGCTCGCAAGCCACATCGACTCCAAGGTGAATCACTCCCTCCTGCATGCTGGCCTCCCCTATCCAGTCTCCTCCTCTATCTCGGCCCTCTCCTCTCCTGCCTCCTCCTCCTCCCTATCCCCCTGCTCTCTTCCTCTTCTTCTCATCGCTACTTCCACCACCACCTGCCGCTCCCTCATAACCTTTTTAGGCGGGCGAGACCGCCGTAGGAGCACAAGCTGTGGTACGAGGCGATTTGGTCAAGGTAACTGAGATTCTCTCCTCCCTCCTCCCTCCTCCCTCCTCCCTCCTCCCTCCTCCCTCCTCCCTCCTCCCTCCTCCCTCCTCCTCCTGCTTTTCCATCCCTATCCTATACCTTCTTTGCATCTCCTCCTTTCCCTTGTCTTGTCCTGCTCCTCCTGATGACATGTCTGTAGCTCCTCGACTTCTTCTCTTTCGCCGGGAAGATTCTCGCCAAGTGCATCGTCGACCAGCAGATTTGCAGCGTTCAGTTCACGACGGCTGTCTACAAGAAACTTCTGCTGCTCCCGTTCACGGTGAGAGGGAGAGAGTGAAAAGGAGAGGGAGGGAAGACCAGGGGGCAGTGTGCACGAGGGAGGAAGAGCAAGAAGGACAGGGAAGAGCAAGAAGGGGAAGGGAGGGAAAGGGAGAGGGAGCGCGAAGGGAGGGGAGCGAGAGGACGGGACAGGGGGTTGAGCAAGGTTGCGACGATGGCGGGGGAGAGGGAGGGATAAGGGGGAACGGGGATCATTGACAAGTTCTCCCGCAGGTGGAAGACTTGGAGTCAGTTGATCGAGAGTTGTATCACTCCCTCGAGTGGGTCCTGGAGTGCAATGCAGATGAAGAGGTCTGCTGTGACATTTGCTTCTCCGACCCCCTCCTCCTCATGCCTGCCCTTCACCAGTTCCTCATCTTCCTCCTCTTCCTCCTCTTCCTCCTCTTCCTCCGTCGCTTCTTTTTCGTGCTCCCTTTTCTCTCCCCCCATTCTCCTTCTATCCTCGCTCATCCTCGTCCTTCCTAGTCTCGACTGATCTCTTCCGCTGCTGCTCTCTTTGTTCTCTTACCCCCCTGCAGGATCTTGCCATGTATATGTGTGTGGATACAACGGATGTGGATGGCAACTATGTAGGAGGAGGAGGAGGAGGAGGAGAGAGGGGAGGCGGGGGGAGTGGGGGGAGTGGGGGTGAAGGAGGAAGAAGAGAAGAGGTATTCTTGTGATGACGTATCGTTAACAGATCACGATCGATCTCGTGGAGGGAGGCCGAGACATCCCGGTGACGGAGGCCAACAAGCATCAGTTCGTGCAGAAGATGATCAACTGGCGCCTCGTCGACCGCGTTGCCGTCCAGACCGACGCCTTCGTCGCCGGCTTCCACTCCGTCCTGCCCCTCGAGTACCTCCAGCCCTTCTCGGCCGGCGACCTTGAGCTCCTCCTGTGCGGCTCGACTGAGATCGACATCGAGGACTGGAAGGTGAACACGCTCTACAAGTCAGGCTACAGCAGCGAATCCGACATCGTCGGCTGGTTCTGGGAGCTCGTGAGGAAGATGGACAACGTGGAGCGGATGCGCCTCCTCCAGTTCGTGACCGGCACCACCGCCATCCCCAGCAGAGGCTTCGCGCATCTCCAGGGGTCAGACGGGGAGAGGAGGTTCAGCATCATGAGGGTTGTGGATACGAGGAGGCTGCCGCAGGCGCACACTTGCTTCAACGAGCTTGTGCTGCCTGAGTACGCCACCCAGGATGAGTTCGAGGCGAAGCTGCTTAAGGCGATGGAGCATGTCAACGATGGGATTCTCCTGCGTTGACGTCCCAGCAACCTGTGTAGATTATGTGCGAAGACACTGTGAAATAATACCAAGACAAACACTGAGAGGTCGGAAGTTCCTCTAGAACCACCTTGAGTTGTACACTCAAACCAACATGTTGATAGCATCCAACATCGGATGGTCGTTTAATGAGCCTTCTCGGGCAGCAGCGCCATATCCTCACTGACAGCAACACCAATCAAACTGCATCATAGGGTCACGAGGTGAAGGCAGCTTCGCAGCTCGTTGGCTCTTGGCTGCTCATCACTGTCATATCCGTTCGCGCCATCATCGACACTTCACGTTCATTTCATCCTGGTGAGCAGGCGAACTCCTTCAAGGAGCTCCTCTCCTGCAGCCGTCCACGATGATGGGGCGATTGACAGCATCCACTGCAGGATACCTGAGCCAACCTCAGCACAACACATCCAGCACCGCCTTCATGTTACTTGGAGTTTCCTCGCTTGATCTTGCGAAACCCTGCTTTGTCTTTGTGTCCGTGCTTGCCTGCTATGGCGTCAGCGACTCGATTCCACACCAAGATCAACCACCAGTCGCCTGCACAATCTGCTCGATGGCAGTCTGAGCAAGGAAGACACAGTGCTGAGGCCCAGTGATGACAAAGACAGGATCTTGACCGCGCTGTGGAGGTCAAGGTCAGCAGGACGGATGGTTCGAGTTGTTTTTACCTTCGGGCTTACAATGGTTGTGCACGTTTGCAGTGCGATGCCCTGAATGACGCTACCCGATGGCCCAACAACCAATCCGACTCTATCCGCAGGTACCTGTTGTTTTCTTGCATCAGATCGCTGAACAACGGGGTTCAAACATCGGCAAGATCTCACCGATAAGTTGATCGTTACGTTTTCTACTGACTCTTGCCATGGAACAATGCTAGCCTGAGAGAGGAGAAGTCAGCATCTTGCGATGAGAGAAGGATCACGCCGCAAACATCACTCACCTGATAGACTTTGGCTTCGATACAAGCTTTCGCCGCTTCTATGCAGATTGGCGTCCCAGTGACCTCAAACTCAGGTTTCCCACCCTTGATTGGACATTTTATCTGCGTTCTGCTCTGGTACGCGATGGTATCGATGACCACGTGTTGTGAGCCCATTACGAATCCTACCAAAGACTCCGGGACCACCACCACTGACGTGCGAGTGGCATCCTTGTGATCCTTTGCTTCCCTTTCTAACGCCTCATGCTCCTTCGCCCTGATCAGAGCCGATGCAGCATTGACAAGAACCTTGGCTCCCGAGATGACGAAGATGGGCTCTTCCCCTTTGCGCGGAGAGAAGATCGTAGTCTCCGTCTGCTGCGCGATCTCGTTTATCACGCGCCCCTTCGGACCCACCACGAACCCAGCACAGTCTTGCCGTACTTTCAGCTTGATTGTGGTTATAGCCTCGTTTCCTCCCGCACTCCCAGCATTCTTTTTGTCGCTCCTATCGACTCCGTCATGGCGTGCCTTCGCTTGATTTTCATGCCGTTGCATTCCCTTCGGCTCAGAATTCCGAGCTTCTTGCTTCTCGCGCTCACGCTCAGCTGCCTTCGCAGCCCACACATTCGGTGCTGGAGCTGCCATGGTTCCCGCTGTACTTTGAAAGAAAGATACTCAAACTCAAGGTATGCCCGTCTTGGCGCCTTCAGAGAATGTGCAGAGAATGTGCTGCGTCTTACAGTCTTCCAGCAATAAACTATGCAATACCAATGGATGCCTGATGCAACGTGCAACAATCGGACAGCACTGAGTTCAACTACCTTGTTTCACTCAGTCAGCTTTCCCTAGTTTCAAGCATCTCAAAGTTACCAGGATGTGAAAAGAGGGTTCACGAGCAGATAATTACGGCTGCATGGAGTTCCAGGAAGAATTCTCCGCTGGCCTACACGTTACAAGCTCAGAACGGACACAATTCCTTGCTGGGATCTAAATCATTGTGTGTTTCCAACCAAAACCAAACAGCGAGTGAACTATGAATTTTCAAGCTGAACCAGCAAATCCTATACGTAGTCTAGCTCTGAGTCTTACGGTTGAGTTTTCACTTCAGAAGTCACATTCACCAGACAATCGAAAGAAGTAGAGCAGCTAAAATCCTCAGCTTTCTTTCTTTTTTGGACAACACCCACTCACAACCACCAACGAGATGCCGAAACGAAATGAAAGAAGGAAACAAAGATGATGATGAAACATCAACATAATACATCAAGAAAATCTCAGCAGCATGCAAGAGAGGCTTTGAGGGAGAGCAAAAGCTCATGTTGCAATCTCTTCAACTAGCGCGATGGCCTTCACGAGATGGGGCTGGAGGGACACAACAGGCATCAGAGGAGAGGAAAATGGATATGCATCTTGCAAGGGTGAAGAGATGAAGAGGAGGAGGGGGAGATAACAGGAAGGAAAGAGCCATAGCCGCGTCTCCTCCCGCCTCCCCTCCCTGCCGCCGACATCCGCGTCCCTGCAATACCCTCATGACTCACACCACCCCACCCCCTAAAATCATCTCACTGTGATCCCACCCACCCACCACCCCACCCCTTCTCCTCCTTCATGAGTGTTGTATATGACCCCCACCTCCAAAGTAATCCTACTTGGATAAGCACGAGGATTATACATGGACCCCTCCAGTACATACCCTACCCCCATTTCTGATATTCAACCCCTCCAATTACCTGGAATATACCCCACCTTTTGAAATATCATTCTCACCCTACCCTATTTTTGGAGTCCTGATCGTACAAGTACCCACCTCATTGATATCCAATCCATCGAAGTACCCCACATTTCCCCACAATTCTTGTACCCTACCCCCATTCAAAATTGTGGTCGCCCGATTTCGAAGGTCAATATATTACCCAAAATAGGGTAATAGATGGGGTGGTCCACCCCATCCCCGCAGCTTCCTCCACCCACCCCACTCTTATCTCAAGGATTGACCACCCCACACCACCATCCCCAATACTACGACCGGTACCGTATCCCCGGTTACATCAACCCACCACCCCCTCTAATGCTTTCCTCACCCAGTTTTTTCCTCTGCTTGGAGAAGGTGGGGTAGGCCAGTGCACGAGGGTACTACCCCTACCCTACCCCCACATTTCCCCCTTCATCGTGCCCCACTACCCCCAACCCCACCCTCACATTGTAAATCAAGTCCGCCTCAGCGTTTGGGCCATAGCGCAAAATGCACTGTGAACTAGGAGGTAGTAGGAAAGTGAAGCGCCCAAAAGAAGCGCGCGAGGCTGCAGAAACAAGGTCAGGAGCAGAGCATGCAGTCAACACGACCTAATGTTGGAAGCTCTCCGAGGCTCTAGGAGGACACTGCATCTGCGAGCGCGGGCAGCAGCGGTTCAATGTTCACATGACATCCCATTTTAGCATCTTGGACGGACAGAGGACGTATGAAGGAAAGAATGTTTCAGCATGCGATGTCTTGATCGATCTCCGTGGATCTTTGATGCTGCTGACTCCGGCTTCAACTGGCATTCTGCGGCTGGCGTATGAGGGAATCGTACTAGACGATCGCATTGGAGGACGAGGGCCTTTGGACATTGATGTACTCTTTCGATGATCGGTTGTCGCTCACATATGACGACGTAACCCACTGTTCACGTCGTTGGGTTGGGTTGTATACAATTTCACCAGGGAGGTGAAGTGAACTGCAAAGTCGCCGATTCATAGCTGGACGAAGATAAAGTGTGGTGGAGGGGCTGGGGAGGAAGGGCGGGACAGTGATGATCTAGTGGAAGAGGAAGACAGACCCTCTATGAGATGTCGTCATTACAATCTGCTATGGACATGATCTCGCTGTCACCTCAGAGGGGAGGTCTATTTAGAGGAGCCTGAGGAGGGCGACAAGGGTACCGATTAAGTCTTTATGATCTTACAACGATGACAGCAGCGTCATCAACAAGAATAAATGAAAGAGTTGGTCATTGCACGACACACTCGCATGAGCAGTGCTCATCGTTCACCTCGTCCATCGTACGAGCTCCGCTCAGTATCTGCTCACGTCGGGTCACTGATGAGTAACAAACATTACCACCCCACCTTCTGCTTCGCAGCTGCAAACTCCTCGTCGTTGAGCTTGCCCTCGTCGTGCAGTTTGCACAGCTCGTTGATCGTCCAGATCACCTGGGATGAGGGATGACGGGAGTGAAGACAACCGCTGCAGGCTCTCACGTTGCAACTCCGCTTCGTTTCGGCATGGACCGAGTTCTTGCAGATGGTTTCTTGGACGGGAGCGACAGCTGTGTTCTATGGAAGCAACCGTTAGCACAAGCGAGAGGAAGGAGGACAAGAGGAAGCCAGGAAGATGAAGGAGAACGAGAGACATGGGAATGCACATACTCCTTGAGCTTCGTCCGTCCTGTTGGCCATGAAAAATCAGACCACAATTTCATCATAACTAGTTATGAATGCTGAAAACTTACATCAGATGATTGCTGCCTGCGTCTTCTTCCTGATCTGACGGTGGAACCTTGCGAGAGGGTAAGAACACATCTCCTCCTCCTCCTCCTCCTCCCCCTTGCATTGCTTCTGCCTCCCTATCCGATACTAGCTCCTCCTCCCCTCCTTGCCCCTCCTCAACCTCCTGCTCCTCCTGCTCCTGCTGCTCTTACGTTGCATTCTTCACGCACACTGTCTGCAAGGATCCACACTCCCCATGGCTCGCTGATCTGGAACTTCTTCCCGGCTCCTCCACGCCATGCTCCATCCACCAGCCCTTCCCGCTCCTCCCAGTCGCCCCGCACGTCATGGCTAGTGCGTGATCTGACAGCAAGTCAGAAAAGCTTGAGAGCAGCAGGCACGCCCACATCTCTTGGGAACGCTCGTTCTCCTCCTCCTCCTCTCGGAGCGCAGCTCCTGTGGATCTGCATGCACGGTGTCAGGGGCAGGAGCAAGAGGAGCCGGCATGCCGCTACCCCTGCAGCGAGAGGTGGGAAGACTCGAGCAAGGATCGCTCGATGAGGGAGGAGTTGATGATGTCGTACATGTTGCGCTCCTTACAGGCATCGCAGTGAAAGGAGGGCTGCGGTAGCATCAGCCATATCGTTTCCTGCCATCGCCACCGACCTGATGCGACTTATCGTAGCACAGGCAACATGCAGGCGCTGCTGCTGCTCCATGAGTCGTTGGAGCCCGCAGGGCCTCGCAGAAGTTGGAGCAGTGCATGCACTCTCCTTCATTCACCTCCACCGCGATCTCATCCTCGTCTGCCATGGCCGTCAGAGGATGGGGTGGACGCACGGACCCTCACTCGCGCTACCTGCATGCAGCAGCGGAGCCGCCAGTCCTTCGTTGACGGGCATGTCTTCAGTCCTCTGCACGCGACATGTCAAGTGTCCTCCATGCCCCCTCTCCTCTGAGATGTGCTCTTGGTTCTTTGCCCCCTCATCCTTTTCCTCCCTCCTGCTGCTCCTTCCCCATACCATCTTTCTACCCATCCCCATCGTCCTTCTCCTCCACCACATCCACACCTTCCCATCCCTTGCTCCTACATGCCCTCCCTTTCTCGCTCCCTCTCCCCTCCTCTTCCCGTCCTCCCCTGGCTCCCTCCCTTGCATTGCGCCTCCTGCGAGAAATAGAATTAGGATCCTAGGGAGTTTTCCCGTCCCGCCCCCACGCTGCTGCCGCTACCGCCGTCTCCTCCTCCTTCCTGTTGCACTCACACGAACCCTCCTTGCTCTCTACCGTGTCCTCTCCCTCTCTCTGAGCCTGCTTCCCCGCCCCCCCCCCCTCCCCTTGTCCCCCTTCACCTCTCCTCTCTTAGTCGCGCTCAGCATGAGGTACCTACGGGAGTGGACTATCCTCCTCTTCCTCTCCTCCTCCTTCGTCTGCTCTTCCCACGTCAACTTGATGAAGGCCGGCATGATGAGGCAGACGGCGAGGCTGCGAGGAGGGATGGTGATCCATAGTGTCAAGTCAGCCCGTCACTCACTCGCCATGGCAGCAGCAGCAAGCCGACTTCATGCGCGAGATGATGGAGGCGATGCACAGATCGATCGATGGTGCGTGAGCGTCTCAGGCGCTATGGCAACCTGACAGCAGCATGCCGGGACAGGTGACGGCGACGAGATGGATCGCAAGAGAGCGGAATGCAACACGGTGCAGGACGTGGAGAGCATGCTTCCTCCCCGCTACTGGGCAGGAGGGTCCGGGCACTTCCCGCACAAGAACCAGTCGTTCAGAGAGATTGCCAAGTGGACCAAGAAGCAAGACAGGTTGACGAGAGGAGCAGAGAGCGAGCGAGGAGAGAGGAGCGAGGAACCGAGGAGGGAGAGAAGAGAAGAGGTGGTTGGGAGAAGGAGAAGGAGAAGGAGGGGGAAGATGGGGAGCAGGAGCAGGAGCAGGAGCAGGAGCAGGAGCAGGAGCAGGAGCAGGAGCAGGAGCAGGATCAAGAGGGGGAGGAGGTAGGAGACGATTTAAAAGCTTGTCAGATTGGCGCCTCTGTATCCTGGGGATCGAGTGCTGGTGGTACCAGAGGACAGCAAGAAGTCAGCGTACATGGCGACGGTGACAGATCTCAAGACGCTCCTCTCGGAGCACGTGCCGAGCGATCCCTGTGCTGGCAGGAAAGAAGCTGTTGAGGGAGGAGGGAGGAGGGGA